AAAGAGCAGTGGCGGTTCTGCCCCAACAGAGGTGATGACACCCGAACTGGCAGAAGCACGGAAGTAATCATACCCGACCTTACAGAAGCTTAGGAGTGAGTGCGCGAGGTGGTTATAAAAGGCTCTCTACCCCCCAAGAACAAGGTATGTGAACTTTGCGCCATCTGGTTTTATCTTGCATTTGAGAGAATACTAACTTGCGCACCATCAGTAATCTTGCATGAAAGGAGAAAAAAAAAAAAGAGAAAAGAAAAAGAACAGTTGTTTTCTGACAGAAATGAAAAAGGAGTTGGCACTAGTTCTGTGTTGCTGCACTTGACCACCAAATAAACAAATAAAAAGAATTGACTTCGTTGAGGTGTATGAACATGAGAACTGTTAAGAGAACATCAGAACATATTGTATTCCACAAGGATTATAAGGGTCCTTGGGGCTGTCCACTCTAAGGTTGTTAAGCCTACTATGTATTGTGCCTTTCAAAATAAAATGTTGCATACAAATTCAATAAAAAGATATAAGCATTTGGTCTTGTTGTACTACTGTGAAATCAAGCTTATATGATATCACTATTTTAAAATATAAGGTGCATTGGGTTCATAAAAACTTATATCATAGTTCTTAGGCATATTTTCTATTGTACAAAAGTTTAAAAAATAATTAAAATGGAAATATTGTTTGCATCTAATATGATTTACTATTACTAGATTATAGTGCAATCATTGTAGTGTAGAATTTATTATTGAAATAAATATAATTTAATATAACCATATTCTATAAAATTCTAAGCTTTTATGATTTCTTGGATGAGGGATGGATATGAGGGCCCTTCATTTCTGCAGCACTTTATTAGGGATGCAAAATTCATGGTAGCTAGAGGGAACATTTCATTCCAATGGATCCACAGATTGGTCAACTGACTGCTTTTTGGCTAGGGCCTAGGGAGATGCTTGCCATACTGGAGGTATAATGGGGTACAACCCTCCCTTGCTAGTTACCATGTCTTTTGTTTAGATTGTGAGTCTTTTGTATACATTGTTGATTTTTGCTTCTTCACAGTGGTCTTTGGGGCTCCGGATCTGCTACCCACGWTGTTCTCCTCACAACATTCCCCATATTATGTTAACATGCCACCTGTCCTCTAACATGCACACCCGACTCACATGTGCGAACCTTCAAAATTAAACTCAAAACCCATAAATCTTTTCCAGTTTTCCTCCTTTCCATTCGAACAAGTCGCCCTAAACCCTAACATCTTTTCTCCATTCAACCTGTTCTTCCTTGAGCTTCAACCTGTTCTTCCTTGCGCTTATCGGTGTTTGAAGGTCTGTGGAAGCGTGCAAAACTCATCTCCTTAGTCAATATAGAAAAAAATTCATGCCAGTTTTATGTGTCTCCACCACATTTGCAAGTCATTAGTCCCGTCTGGAAGCTTGTCTTCTCTCTTCTTCTACACCAATCTCATCTCCGAAGACAACACCATGGTCTTGGGAGACAATCCGCTACTCCAAACTTCCTACAGATCCCACCTGATGCCACACCAGTAAGATCATTGGGTCACCTGCTAGCCGAAGGCCTTATTATTTAAATTAGCCCAACTTTAAATTGGATTAAGATCAATCTAACTACTTTTCCCAAGAATTTCTCGTGAGAGTAAAACCCAACACACCTCTTCAAGGAATGCTCAATTAGRAAAAATTCAGTCTCCACCAGAGGAACAACGAAACCAGAACTGTTTTGGTATTTTTTTAATTGGTTTCAAGGAAGATCGATCTGAATGGGTTCTTAGGGAAAAACAATACTGCATCAATAACAGCTAAAACCTGTATCTCTCAGTTCCATAAAGTAAATAAAGTGTTTTGTGTAGTATGAGACTTGAGACATTTAAAATTGAGAGATCATGAGCAGTAATTGGTCACATGTGACCATGCAAGGCAATGTTCCTTTACTTTTAGTCATTCTCACAATTAGCCAGTTAGGGAAAGACTAAACCCAGAGACAATTCTCGACTCGATACCTGATTTACCTTTTAATTTTTTGGTACATATTTACCTATTTTTGTTCTAACTTGAAATTGGATTACACTTGACAAGCCACTGATCTCACTCCTACTTGACATCACTGTCCTCAAATCCTATCTGACATGTTCTCTTTCACCCAACAAATTCAGTTCAGGTGGTTGTTTTCTATGAAAAGGGGTGGATTTGAGTCGAGCCCAACTGGATAGCTAGCTATTTGAGCTCTGCTTGCCAAGAAAGTATGAGGCTCGAGCTCGGTTCAATCTAGAGACTTGAGCTCGAGTCAAAAGCTTGTAAGTTTGAGCTTGGCTCGAGCTCGATTGTGAACCAAATGTTTTATAAAAATAAAAAATTTATTTTTATTTGATATTTAAAAAAATAAGAATTATAATAATTAGTTATTATTATATATAAAAATAAAAATATTGTATATATATAACATTTTTATATTTATTATATATATGTGTGCACATATATACATATATATATGTATATGTATATGTATTAATATTATGTATGTACGTAGAAGCTCAATTAGGCTCGTGAGCCTCACGATCCAAGCTTTATTAAGCTCAAGCATGGCTTAATTAGCAAATGAGCCTGTAAATTGGGCTCAACCTTGGCTCGAAACTTGGTTTAAACCAAGCTGAGCTCAAATAGCTTGTGAAAAGCTCGGCTCGTAGCCACCCCTCTCTATGAATGAACTTGGAAGTTGGAACAAGCTTCGAATGCCACTAGTGAAATGACCTTCGAATGCTGGTGAGTTTATAGGGACTCAGGAGGAGCAGAACGAAGGGAGAAGAGGGATTAGGGTTTAGGGCGTCTTATCCGGATGGAAAAGAGAAAAAAGACTTTGGGTTGAGTTTAGGTGGAAAGGTGCACACATGGGGGGCTGGGTGCGCATGTTAGTGTAATGTGGGGAGAACTATGTGGCTAGGGTTATCCTTTCCTTCCTGATTCTTTTTTTGATGAATTCCTTCCTGATTCTTTGTAGAAAGCCAAAACATGTATCTTGCCTAGAGTCTTACCCATCTTAGAGTAAAGTTGGGTGGTACAAATGTAATCACCCAGACACTTTAACTTATTATTGGCTGGACCGGGTTTGGGCCTAAGGAAATTGAAGGCTGTGGTTGGCCAATCTGAGTCCAGTTCATTAGCTCCACTGTATGATAGTCTATTTGTTTTTCCCTGGGTAACACCCATGAAGAACGGACTTCATGGGCAATGGTACACAAGAATGCTACAGAGTGTGCTTGATTTTTATCTGTTTTATAAATCAAATGAACTRCATTCTAGCTTTTACATTGGGCTGCCACAGACTACATTATGTTTATAAATCTCCACGAGAATCAAGGCTGCCAATGATTGACTCCCCGAATCCAGTTCATTAGCTCCACTGTATGGTAGTCTATTGTTTTTGACTTCTTTCCCTGGGAAACAGCCACTGAAGAAGGGACTTCATGGCCAATGGCCCACAATAATGCTACAGAGTGCTTGATTTTTTTAATCTATTTTGTTAATCATATGAACTACATGCTACCACAGACTGCCTTATGTTTGTAAACCTCCACAGTATTACTCCTTAATTGCAAATTGACTGCTTAACCATGATAAGAATAAGAACAATGTTAGTATACAATTTTCAACTCTTCTTTGCATGGGGTACAGGGGTATCTTACACTGATATCTGAAACATTATGTGGGGGACCTATCTGGACTAAGTCCTACTGGCATTCCTTCTAAGATAAATAAGTTTGAGAATCCATCTATTTTTTTATCATGACACCTTGTGTTAAACAGTTCATTATGAAGGTGTCCTTGCTGAAACCGGTGAAGTTTTTGACACTACTCATGAGGATAATACTATATTCTCTTTTGAGCTTGGAAAGGGCACTGTAATCAAGGCGTGGGACATTGCCTTGAGAACAATGAAAGTAAAAGATTCTTTACCCATTTAATTTACTCAATTTTCTGAATTCATCATTGTTCATGGTTCACCCTATTGAAGTCTGATTTGACCATGCATATTTTCTCCTTTTGATTTTGTTCAGGTTGGGGAGGTTGCAAAAATCACTTGCAAACCGGACTATGCTTATGGAAATGCAGGTTCTGCACCAGATATTCCCCCCAAGTAAGACACTGTCCTCTGCTGGACTTCTGCAGTATCCACTACCTATTAACAGTTGCTTTCCAGACAATATAATGATGTTGAACCAATGAGGTGGTGATATATATTGCAAGCATGCTGGTCGGTGGGGGAGATTATAGAACCTAGCAAATAGCAACGAATGGGTCCCACATAGGAAATTCACACTATAAGAGAGAAATGTAAGATTATTCTCAATTTCTTTACCATCTGGTTGAGAAAAGAAGTTGCAGAATATTAATTATTGGTCCAGCCAAGATAACACTTGCATCAATATAGTGACTGAAATCACGGCCAGTATAAGATGCCAATTGCACTGAAATCTAAGGCCAACATGATTAAGAGTATGGAACCTTGGTTCCTGGTCATGACTGATTAGGCTGATTAGTGGTTTTGCTTGCTATGTTATTCAGGCACAGCAAAAATACAGCTGTGTGCAGGATAGTTTCCCATCCAAAAATAATAATATGAACTTGAATCATAGACTTGTCTGTTTTTTTCCTCGTCTTATTTCTGTTGACAAGCAGACACCAGAATATGTATTTGGATGTAATTTTATCTTGATAGTAGTATGCTTATCCTTATTGCAAATTTGGTAGGAAAGCTAGTTGGCCAGGATACTGAAAAGTTGTGGCTCACAATCATGCACATACATACTGCTACATGCTCTACTGTGTCATTGTTTTGGAGAATGTAGTGATTGTTCTTGAGGTATCTGGCAAAGCCCTCATATTTTTATTGCTATCATACAGTGCAACTCTTGTTTTCGAGATTGAGTTGGTGGCATGCAGGCCACGCAAGGGTTCTAGTCTTGGCAGTGTTTCAGATGAGAGGGCAAGGCTCGAGTGAGCTTTTTCTGCCCTAATTTCCTTTTTATTTTCCTCAAGAATCTCTATCACATATGTTAGGAACTAATCCAATGTTCTTTCGTGGGCATGTGTTCAGGGAACTGAAGAAGCAGAGGGAGATGGCTGCAGCAATCAAAGAGGAAGAGAAGAAGAGGAGAGAAGAAGCAAAGGCTGCTGCTGCTGCCCGTGTGCAAGCCAAGTTGGATGCCAAGAAAGCCCAAGGCAGGGGGAAAGGCAAAGCGAAATAGGGTTGTTTCACATATTCTAGTGAGATGCACCCATCTTTGTTTCTTTATATAAGCCGTAAAAGTGGTACAGCCATAGTCAACATGGGATCATTTAACATGTACATTCAGTTGCAGACATTATTTAAAAGCTGCTACAGCATTAACATAGAAAAGTACTGCTCAAATTCTTGATCAATTGTCGGTTTCTTGGCACCTAGTCGAGCCTCTGCACCAAAAAAAATGTGAAGAAAAAAGTTATGACAAATTATAGAAAAAGCAGTAGAAATGAAAACATGTGATTACTTGAAAACAAAATAAAATAGTTTTTTCTTTCTCAGCGTGCATTGGGAATATCTACCGAAGTTGTCAGTGGGAAATGTTCCCAATACACGGTTGAAATATGCTGTGGGGCGTAGTGTGAATTCGTTGATGGAGAGGGAGTGAGGGGGTCTCCCGTTCTAGAGTTTGATTTGAAGGATATGGTATTGGAGCCCTACCACATTGCTCCACCCCACCAAGCAGATAGTTATCATCCAACTTGGTGAATGGTGAACGTTTAGAGATCTCCCATAATCTGTCAGTCTAGTAGCGGGTACACAGTGCTCATCACTGTATACATCCTAAGACCAAGCAAGGAATAAAGTTTCTAATATCCTATTACGAGTTACCTTGGTTGACGCTCCATCGTCCTGAAGAGAGTACGAACAAATTAGACGTGGCCCCATTGGAATAAAGCAGCATATCATCGTCCTCTTCTTCATCCAAATATTGCTGAATGCCTTCGTCCCCAAATGCTGGAGAAATGTAATCGACATATTTTCCAAATTCTGGGAACTCTGTGTCAATGCTCTGAGATACTGATTCGGACTGTTGTCCATTCGCGAGGTTTGGGAGATTAAGTTTACCCATGACTATCGGTTCATCTTTACCAAAGCTTATTTCTTTGATAGTTTTATCATCCAAGGGAAGAGCATTCTTGATAAATTTGCTGCTGCAACTATCGGATGAAGTGGAATGGTGGTCATAGGTGTAGGCCTGTATTTCAAATTCAGTATCAGTGTAAGGGGAAATATCAAGGTCGGATTCTCCAACAAAGCTATTGCTATCTTTTGTAGATTCCTGTTCTGATCCATTTTTGGCAAGCCCTCGAACAGTTTTTTCTTTCAGTAAATGCATCTGTGAGAATTCTGGTTCTTCTGGAAATGGATATTCATGTTCAGAACTCGAGCTCCTAATCCCGAACTTGTGCTTTGATAGAGGCAAGTTCAGGTGTTCTTGTAACTTCCTTTTCTTGGTTAGACCAAAACCGTTGGTTTGACGCATCACCTTGTTCACATAAAAGCTGAATGTAGCATATAGATCAAAGGAAGAAAATCAACCATGAGAAAAATTATGTATTTGCAAAACATAAGCAAAAGAAGAAAAGCCCAAGTTAATCTGACAGATCAAGATCCTACTTGGGAGAAAACAAGGACAAATTAACAATAAATTGGGCTGAAACTTGATATTAACTGGACTCTAGTTATCATAATAGAATTAGAAGCTCATTGCCCAGAGCGGTATTGATTAATTTCTGTTATTGAATGATTTGGTTTTTGTTCAAATTCTTGGAATCCTTAAGACCCATAAGTGAAGGAAGTTTCTCTAAAAGATTGTAGAAGTTAAACTCAAAAAGAAGAAACAGAAACAAAACGACATTAAACGTTGTACCAACCTGAATTCAGAAAGTCGTCTCTGACTTGTCCATCGCAAATAACTCAGATATGTGAATTTCACATAAACAGATAAACTTGTAATGGGTGGCTGCGGAAATAAGCAAATGAATTCAACCACGTCCAGGGGTTTCGAGCTGCTTCAGATGGAACCATGGTGATTCTATGATCTTCTGCATAAGGTTCCACTCCTGTTGTATAATCTTCCTCTTCTCAAACTCCTAGTTTGCTGGTTTTGTTAGTATAATTAAATCAACGTCCTCTCTCTCTCTCTCTCTCTCTCTTCAGATTATTACCATTACCAAGGTAATTTAATTAGAACATGTTCCAGATTCTTCTATGGTTCATAGCTAAAAGCTTCTTACCACATGATGGAGATTGATATCACTCTATTTTCTCCGGCATGGGACCTGCAACCGTAAGTGTTTAGACAAACTAAAAGCATTGCGGGGTTAAGATTCTTCTGTGGTTGTAATCCTCAAACCCCAGAAAGGATAACAAAACAAGGAAAGATGGACCTAACATCCTAAATTCATGATTGAGCACTCCCAAGTCCCAACTCCCAATTGATTCATTTCTCTTCTCTGCAACCCAAATTTTTATCCAATTTGGTGAACAACCCAATCAATCAATCAATTCAAACGTTGATTAGGGAACTTGCAAAACCAGTCGGGTTCTACTGGTATTTCTCATGTATATATTGTTAGCATATACTGACTGCTGTTATAACAGTCGTAACAGAAAGCCTCTTGCATTCCAACAACCACCCGACAGCTGGCCCTCAATCACTTGACAGTTGGCCAAGTTGGTCCACTTGTCCAAATCAAATATTTTTGTATATATATATTTACCATCTATCTTAATGAATTAATTCAGAGTTTCTTCCTCTGTTTTTTCTCGCCTCTGATAGCATTTTACATGGTATCAGAGTGGCGCAAGATCCTTAGGTTTTTGTTTCTTCAAGATTGTAATGGCGTTCGAAATCAATGGAAGCTCACCGTATTTCTTGCACCCATCGGACAATCCAGGAGCGGTGTTGGTTTCATCTCCAATCGTCGGAGAAAACTTCTCAACATGGCAACGCGCGATGAAGACAGCTTTAAAGGCAGAGAACAAATTCTGTTTTGTTGATGGATTTTGCCATGTCCTGATGCTGCACCGCCGGAAGAATCAGCTTGGACGAAATGCAATGCGATGGTTACCTCGTGGATCCTCAATTCATTGTCCCGTGACATATGCAACAGCGTAACATTCATAGAATGCGCAGCTGAAATCTGGAAGGAGCTCGAAGAATGGTTCTCGCAGAGTAACGCTCCTCATATACATCAACTGAAAGGGGACCTGGCTCTTCTCCAGCAAGGAGATCTCACAGTCACCGGTTATTTCACCAGACTCAAGACACTTTGGGATGAGTTAGGAACACTCGTAACCMTACCTGAATGCTCGTGTGGAGCAGCAAAGATACTTGCTGCTGAAAGAGACAAGGAGAAACTACATCAGTTTCTCATGGGACTCAATGACTGTTGGGAAATGGGGTCATTGTAACTTTGGAGGAGAAGCTCTGAGGCGCATTTGAAGACACTGTCTTTAGAACGTTATTTGCCCCCACTCAGTTTCACTGAGTTTGCTGTTGGGTTACAAGCAAATCCGTTCCCAGGATACAACAGAGCCTTGGGTGAGAATCTGCAACCAGCAAAGTTGAAGAATCTCCAAAGTGCGCCTCTAAAGCGCCTCATTGCGCCGCACACATGCGCGCGTTGCGCGGTATCAAACCCCCATACTCTCCTCTACTATTTCTAAGGAGTGTAAATCAGCTCCTATTAAAATACTGAAAACAAAAGCTTATAATCTCCCAATGTGGGACAAGTTCAAAACTGAGTTTTGTAAGAGAAAAGCTAATTTTTCAATCAAGTGTGCAGGTGCAATTTCTCATGTAATTGACCAATCAAACCCATTGGATTTAATCTCTTRTGAGATTAAAATCCAACAATGACTCCTTCAATTCAATTAGATATGCGATTCTTGGATCTGATCCACTACCTAGTATGAGTCGTGCATATGCTCTTGTCACTCAAGATGAAAAGCATCTATTCACCGTATCTCTGTGCAACTCTCCTGGTCAGCCAGAAGCAGCAACACTTAATGCCTCTACTAGACCAAGTGGACGAGGATCGGGTTCAAATGGACAAGCCAAGCAACGACCGCACTGTAATCATTGTAAACGGAATGGTCACACCAAAGACCGCTGTTATGAGCTAATTGGATATCCAGAGAATTGGGAAAAGAATCGATCAAGCCGACGGTCTAATTCTAAGGGTCCACCACATCAACCTCGATCTACATCATGTGCAACTACTGAATCTTCAGAGACTGCTGCTAGCTCTCCCATCCCAAGGCTCACGATGAATTAATACAATCAACTTTTTCTCTTCTTAATAATGGCAGGTCTGAATTTGCTTCGGCCAATACCTCTGGTAAGGTTCTACCTCCTCCCAGTTGGATTCTTGACAGTGGTGCCTCTGACCACATGCTTGCATCTGAGTCTATGTTTACAACATCCCAGTGTTTGAGTCATAAGAGGCTTGTTAGCCTACCAAATGGAACTTCTATCTTAGCCACTCATAAGGGGTTTGTGAATCTTGGTTCCCATACTATACATAATGTTTTGTATCTCCCACAGTTTAGATGTAATCTTCTCTCTATAAGCAAACTAACCAATCAGCTCAACTGTGCGGCTATATTTTTTCCGTCATTCTGTGTTCTTCAGGACCTTGCCTCCAAGAAAGTGATTGGAGTGGGCAAGCTCTATGATGGCCTCTACCATTTTACAGCCCCTGCACAATCATCTTTAGCACATGAGTTGTTTCTTCCACTGTAGATAACATGACATGGCATAGACGTCTTGGCCATGCCTCACAACAACGCATCTCACTCATCAGCRACATACCCGTCACACTGGGAGATTTCTGTTGTGATTCATGTCATCGTGCTAAACAAACACGAATTCCATTTTCAGTTCGGGTATCCAGCACCACCGCTCCTTTCCAGCTTGTGCACTGTGATATCTGGGGAGGTTACCGAACTACATCTCACTCTGGGGCCCATTTTTTTCTCACTGCCGTTGATGATTTTAGTAAATGCACTTGGGTTTATCTCTTAAGGAATAAATCAGAGGCTGTGTTTTTTCTTATTGCTTTTTGTGCCATGGTAAAGCGATAATTTAACTGTGGTGTACAATGCATACGTTTAGACAATGGTTTTGAATTCACTTCAAAGGCTATGCAACAATATTATACTACTGAAGGTATCATTCATCAGAGATCTTACATAGATACACCCCCGCAGAATGGTGTTCCTGAACGCAAACATCGCCACCTACTTGAAGTCGCTCAAGCTCTTCAATTTGAAACTTCCCTCCCTACAACATTTTGGGGGAAATGTCTCCTTACAGCAAATTATCTCATAAACTTGCTCCCAACACTGCGATTATCAAGCAAATCACCATTTGAGGTACTCTATCACAAACCCTGTGACTACGGGCATCTTCGTACTTTTGGGTGCTTATGCTATGCCCAAGTTCGTCCATGTCCAAGGGACAAGTTTGCTAGTCGAGCCACTAAAGGAATTTTTGTGGGTTATCCTCACGGGCAAAAGGATTACAGAATTTTTTACCTTACTTCTCATCGCATTTTCACCTCTAGAGATGTAGTTTTTATGAATCCACATTCCCTTTTCAGAACATTGACATTAATGTTCCCATAACCTCTTCCACATCTGTCATACCTTTACCACAACCCTCAGATTCATTAACTAACACCTATCCACCCGTATCAGCACCATCCCAAGAACCCACTAATATACCAATTAATGAACCCACCATTACCACCACCGTCATGCCCGTAACTGAGTCTACTGCTGAACCGATCCCTGACCACAATTCCAACACAAACAGCCCTGACCACATTCATGAACAAGTCACTACGCCTCAAAGAACAATTCGATTACCTTCACATTTCAATGATTATGTTGTACAACTCCCACCTTCCATTTCAAATGCAAACACCAATGCCGTGCTCAACACTGTAATTAGTATCAACGCCCATGAACCCACTACCTTTGCTCAAGCTTTTTCTGACCCAAGATGGAGAGAAGCCATGGCCAAGGAAATTAAAACCCTTGAAAAGAACAACACTTGGACCATTGTTGACCTACCACCAGGAAAGCATGCTATTGGATCAAAATGGATATATAAAATCAAGTACAAAGTTGATGGTAGCATTGAACGATTTAAAGCCCGGCTTGTGCCAAAGGCTATACACAAGTTGAAGGTCTTGACTATCATGACACATTTGCTCCAGTAGCAAAACTAGTGATTGTACGATGCCTATTGGCTGTTGCTGCCATCAAACAATGGGAACTACACCAACTTTATGTTAACAATGCCTTTTTGCATGGTGACCTCCATGAAGAAGTTTATATGACCATCCCTCAAGGGTTTGCCAAAGAAGGGACTCACAAGGTTTGCAAATTACAAAAATCTCTCTATGGGCTCAAGCAGGTTTCAAGAGTGTGGTTTGCCAAATTCACTCAAGCCATCCTCTCTCTTGGCTTTAAACAATCCAATGCAGACTACTCTCTTTTCACACAAAGCCAAAGTGATTCCTACATTGCGATTTTGGTTTATGTTGATGATATCATCATTGCGGGCAACGATCCATCTCGCATTTCTTTCATTAAGCAATACCTCGATGATTAGTTTTGCATCAAAGACCTTGGTTCACTTCAATATTTCTTGGGGTTGGAAGTTACTCGCTCCCCTTCAGGTCTCTCTCTCACTCAACACAAATATCTCAAAGATATCATTGAAGAATGTGGGCTGACAGATTGCAAACCCTCTCCCATACCCATGGAGCAGCAACGTCACTTCATTGATTCCACTAGACCTCTTCTTGAAGATCCAACCYGTTACCGTCGCCTTGTGGGCCGTTTAGTTTATCTAACTGTCACAAGGCCTGATATTAGTTTTGCTGTTAACTGCCTTAGTCAGCACATGCAAACGCTAAGACAAGAGCATCTTGATGCCGCCCTTCGTGTTGTTCGATATCTGAAGGGTACTTTCATGAATGGCCTTTTTTTCAATGCTACGAGTGAACCCATGCTATGTGGATATTGTGATTCTGATTGGGCTAGTTGCCCACTAACCCAGAGATCTACTACCAGATATCTTACTTTGTTAGGCACTTCACCACTCTCATGGAAGACAAAAAAGCAGACTACTGTTTCTCGGTCCTCCGCTGAAGTTGAATATCGTGCCATGGCCACCGCCACTGCTGAACTCTTATGGCTGAAAAGAGTCCTTCATGACTTAACCATCAACATCTCCGTCATGCAATTACATTGTGACAGCAAGGTGGCACTTCACATAGCTGCTAATCCCGTGTTCCACGAACGTACTAAACACATCGACATTGACTGCCATTTTGTACGCGAACATGCCCAAAGTGGTGAAATAAAGACCTTCCATCTGCCTAGCAACCCTCAACCAGCTGGCCTCTTTACAAAGGCTCTTGGATCTGACAAGTTCCATCATCTAGTGCCCAAGTTGGGCATTCAAGTCCTTCATGCACCAACTTGAAGGGGGGGTGTTAGCATATACCGACTGCTGTTATAACAGTCGTAACAGAAAACCTCTTGCATTCTAACAACCACCCGACAGCTGGCCCTCAATCACTTGACAGTTGGCCAAGTTGGTCCACTTGTCCAAACCAAATATTTTTGTATATATATATTTACCATCTATCTTAATGAATTAATTCAGAGTTTCTTCCTCTGTTTTTTCTCGCGTCTGATAGCATTTTGCATATATGAAATCACGGATCTAGCAAATAGATAGAGAAAGAAAGACTGGAAGAGTAAATTGGGTAGGTGAATTCTATGATGATACCAAAAGAGTTTTGACCAATCAACCTCCACCCCTCACCCCCAGGTGAATTTTGCTAAATACCACCTGATTGCCTACCAATTTTGTGATACCGGATGATTGGTTACAAGTTTTTCCGGTATCACAGTCGAACCTCCTTCAAACACCCAAAGAAATCAATTATGTTACTGAATCTAGAACATGTTTCCAGAGGACGTGGATCAGTAAGTGCACTTACAACAATTACCAATTTCAAGTCACCATCTTTTATGCCATTAAATCTACTTACGTTTTCTCGTCTAAGAAGGAGGAGGTGCAGAATTAAAGGAAGTCTAAAGATGAATCGCAATACAACCCAAAAATGACTCTAAGCAGGCAAAGCGCACAAGAAGTGTAAAACATTGGTTGAATATGAACAAATCATGATTTTAAACATAACAAAAGAATAGAAATCCAGAAAACAAACCTGTTAATCTCATAAGAATCCTGACTATCTTCATCCATCTGGAATCGAAAAGGAAAGGCAAAAAGCTGAGAGAGAGAGAGAGAGAGAGAGAAAAGGAAAAGGAGAACGCAAATAATCTGCCCGCTCACTGTATATCTCCCCCTCCCGCAGTGAAAACCAAACTAAGCGAAAAGCACAAAAGGGGCAACAAACGAAGCTAGAAGTACATCATGGGATGGGAATCATTCGACATTATCCGAGACACACGCACTCTCTCTCTTACGGTGCGTCTGTGCCCACCGTTTTCGTTGTGGAGTGCTGATTTGGCGTCGAGGCCATACGGGGACACGTGGGTAACTCCGACTTGGCGGAATGGATCGCAACCTTCTGTCTCTCTTGGGTAACACGTGGACCCCACTGTTCAGAGTGATTGACTCCTAACCGTTTCACCTCCATCCACCTGACCTGAATSGACAGTCTTTACTTTCACCACAATAACTGAAAAAGAATAGAACAGACTGGGACTTGTAGATAGAAAGGTAGAGTCAAAAGAAGAAGAACAATGAAGATGATGCTCGGTTTACTGCAACCACACTCGGCAGGTTTGGTTTTTGATGAAGGGTGATTTGGTCCGATCTATTAAAGAGGGGACATATAGACATGACCTGATCAAGAGATGATAATTCAGCTTATCATAATCAGTYCGCAGCATATCGAGTTCGGGTATCCAACCATTTCGGGCTAAAGTGACYTCAGGACAAGACCACCTCGAGACGAGATCGCTTTGGTACCAGATCGCAACAAGAACACCTCAATGGCGAGGCACTTTGGCACTCAACTCAGTTCGTGACTTAAAGACATCAGTTCGGGGATACCGACATGCCACTACGTGGTGATCCCGAAAACTCCTCCAACGGATCCCAGGTCTCACGGGATCACACTGCATAACAACTAGCATTATCTCCCCGACCGGTTTTAGGCGGAAGTGATGAACTTTATCGGTTAGTAGCGTTATCTTCCAACTAACATAGAAACGGATCCTATCGTGACAATGATCCCGGAACCGATCCGCAAAACCCGCGAAGACTCAATTATATAAAGGCTCCACCCCGTGGTTCAAGGTACACGTGATTTCTTTGCTTTCTAGTTCTCCTACATCCTTAAGCTATTTCAGCTCGCTACCAGTTTACTGACTTAAGCATCGGAGCGACATCTGATCCTTTTCTTGTAGATCAATTTAGTCCGTCGTCCGCCTGAAAACCAGATCAACTCCAACAGGGAGCAACGAGATCGCATAACATCATTTGGCGCCGTCTGTGGGAAACACTACAAAAAACCTTTCTCCACCATCAATAACAGAATCAAATCCATGGCTTCCTCCAACAACACCCAAATTCTTTGATTTTTCTCTTGCAGATCAATTTAGTCCGTCATCCATTGTCTGCCTAGAACCCCCAGCACGGAGCAGCGAGATCGCGCAGCATCAGTTTGCTTCCCATCTTCGCTTCCCGATGGCTTGGGTCAACTCTTGCATGAGAGTGATGCTCTACAGTACTTATTGTGCTGTTTTATATAAAAGTTCATTTGGCTTGGAAAAACAGGTGCAAAACTTTTGTTTATGATGGGGGAAACGGAAAATACTAGTGCTGATGCTATAATATTTCGTACAAGCAGGTTGATGAGGGTGCCTCGTGTCCTGACTGGGCTGCCATTTAGAGTTTAGGCTGCTTGTGCTTCAAAATTATTCAGCCAATCCCTACTAGACACCTGGCATATTCGAGGACATTCTCGTCAAGCCTAGCCTTGGAGGGACACCCTTGCTATTTTATCCACAGACTATAGCCTTAGGCTGAATTTGGAATGTTTTATATTATTTGCACTCTATATATTTGCATTTATACTCMTTCCAATTCCAAACTGAGCAGCCTTAATAGCTAGTTCCCCTCACCCTCAGAGATGTTATGACCGCGACTCTGCTCTCTTAGGCTCATTTAATGTCAGAATAATGCTCCGCCACGTGATTACCGTCTTAATGAATTTATACCAACGTGCAAAACTGATACAAAGAGCTCATAAGAAGACTACCATCAATGGAGCCTCCAGCCTCGTCTATTACATGCGATGGGAGCAAAGAGCCACGTATATTTGTTTTTCTCTGTGATTCTCATTTTTGCTCTTTTCGCTTGTCTCACACTTTGGCACCTCGGCTTTTCCGATTATTTTGATCATTGAATGAATTCGTCACCCTTGGAATAACATTCGGGGCGGGGGTTCTATGGCCAAATCACCTCGGTAATTTCCAAGTTACCCTCCCTCGCTACAAGAATGAATTGGCTGATTTTACCAGCAGCAAGTCACACGGCCAAAGACACCAAAAATTCAAGGGCACGCACGCTTGATAACAAACCATCAAGCAAAAAAAGTTAAGATTGGGCATCCTCAGCCCTCCTCTCGGCTCCAACCTCCTCCACTGTTGTGACCTCCCCCCAGGAAGGCGGGAACACCATCACCAGAGCCACCATTGTGACTCTCTCCCACCTTTGGCCTCAATTTTCCCCTAATTGCCATTCTCAGCGTCGGCATAAACGTTGAGTTTACTGATGTCGAAGTTTGGAGTAATGGCCAACAATTGTTCTTGTTGAGGTGCATGTGGTGCGGTGGGGCTATTATTCTTGTTTGCTAGGTATCTCAACGACAAGCACCTTTAAGCTATGTTTGGTTTGAAGCAAAAAGTAGGGAAAGGAAGGAAAAGGCAATGAAACCTTTACAAACTTTGTATAGGTTTTCATACCTTTTCCTTCCTTTCCCTACCTTTTCCTTCAAACCAAACATAACTTTTAGGGTTTTCCATACAGGTTACCTCGACGAGAGGCATTTTGCCCGTTGATGTAGCCCCCTTGGAGCATAAAAAGAAACCAAATTTCAGTAAGAGAGTTAACATCATGAAATGCGAAAATATCACTAAGTCCAAGTTTTGAATATAAAACTAAAATACTAAATATAGCAAATACTGTAAGATAATAAATCAATTAAAATTTATCAAAGATTTCCTCGAAAACTACGAAAAGAAACTTTAATTATAACAAATTGAAAATCAAAAGAAAGAAAGAAAGACTTTGATACCAGAGAAGGAGAAAAGAATCATAACAAATTTTTATTCTTTAATGTTATAATTACAACCCTCAGTGAACTAATTTTATAAAAATAATCAGCTCGCCTCTTGATGTGGAATAGTCCAATTCCCCCTCTCCCTTCTTTTTTTCCCCCTCCCTTTTTTCAAGGTATGCAGGGAGAAGAGTCCCCTCTACATCTTACAAAACTTCACAAAACAAAAGATTTTACTTGTGTGTAACAGCTATGCAAACTCCTACAGATTTGGACTGTGTGTTCTTCTGACGATGAAAAAGGGACCTCGTTTGATTTGATGATTACATAACGAGGTACCCAACAAGAAATTTACATGGTGGGCAGATTGAAAAATACCACCTCACGTTCGTCTCATGATGAATAAGCGACCTTCGTCTTCTGGTTGTTAGACTAAATAGCTTGGAACACGGGACCTTCGTCTTCTGAAAAGCATTTGGAATGTCATCTCTAGATTGATGCAGGAATCATCATGTCATAAGATGTGCGGAATCGTAAGCCTGAACCAATATGTCTTGATATGGGGCATATCCAGGTGAAAATGCTTGGACCCAACACCTAGAGAAAGAAAGAAAAACACCAACTATATGAGGTCAGGCTACATGAATCCTTTTTTGCCATTCCATACTCTTAAATGCCATATCCATTACTGAATTGTAAGCCCTTGATAATTTCTTACTACTTCAACCCATATGGAAATAAAATGCATTTCTTGTTTCAACTTTGAAACCAGAAACTGAAAATTGCATTTCTTGTTTCATTTTTGAAAAAGAAAAAAAGAAAAGACATTRCAACCAAGAATATATGTTGTATCTTTTGTCTTAAGAAAGTAATGATTTTCAAAAACCACTGTCAGCTCCAGTTTTCTTGAAATTGCAACAAAAGAAAACAATTTATGTGGAGAACACCTCCCTAGTGAATTAATCCACAGGTTGTGTACATCTGATATAAAAAAGAAAAACATTTATATGGAGAACACCACCCTAGTGAATGGCATTAATCCAGAGGTACCTGTATACATCTGATGTACACAGTTCCTTTACATGCATCTATGGTCCTTTTTCCCAAATTTTGTTCAGATAAAGCATGAACCCTATGTACAAATGGTTGTTAATACCTCCTAACAGGGAAGAAGAAGACTCTAAGAATAAATAGCCTTGCCAGCCAGATGCTCAAGACCCATGGACCATAATTAAAGGCATTCCAGTTAACGAGGTCATTTGGTCAGCGAAGACAGACATGGGAGGGCACTTGGCAGTAAGAGCATCAAGATGACAAGTGTGCAAGAAGCAAAGGAACCAATGTTCTTACCGATGTTAGATTTTCATAGGGACCAAGATCATATGGATGCTGATAGACATTCCCAACCTTTTCTGCAAGCCACATTGCTCTGACTCCTTCATGATACTGCAATAAAAATAATAACGAAATCCAGAGAAGAAGACTCCTTGATCAAATTGGCCAGCAGAAAGATAAAGAATAAACTAATTGTATTCTATAAAATTTCTTCAAACCTCAATTGTGGTCTTATTGTGCAAGATGAGGTATATATGCCAGCCTAAGAGAATGCTCAAGGCCACAGATAAAGGAACAAGCAAAATTCCAGAAATGATCTGCCCAATGCAAATAATTGATGTATTATTTGTTTTTTCAGTTTTAGATACGAGTTTAAACTTTGAAAATTGCAACTATTGCTTACATAAAGGGTCCTGATGGAACCTCTACTCTTCTCTTCATCCTTTTGAGCATCTTGGGCAACACTACCAACAAGTAAGACCTGATACCAAAACATGCATTATTTGTTGGCACATCATAGCAATGTGCTTCTGCACAGGTAAGTTGGGATTTAACCCATGACATCTAGACAGAATGTAATAAACCATAAAGCAAACAACCATACACAATGGGTTAGGAAACATACCAGTGCATAGATGCATGAAATTACAGCATACAACACGAAGACGAAGAAAACCTTATAGTTTGCATGGCCCACACAGTTATTTAACCAGATGCAGTGGTGGTCCTATATGCAAGGTATGGATCATTTTAATTACATGATAAAAAAGAACCTTTGAGATAAAAAGGCATGAACACTAGCATATATAAGATGCCAAAGTTTGCCCAGGCAAGAAAACAAAGAAGTAGTCCATGCATACCATTCGCAGAACACATCTTTTGCAAACACGACAATGATGTGTGCGAGGAGGCTTAAAGTTGGAACACTTTTGGCAATATCTCAGATCCCCACCCTGCAAGAAAATCAATGATTGAGTGTAATAGAAGATCCCCAAAAGCTATCTACAGAACAACAAAGAATGAAAATCTTTGAATTAATACCATATAAAGAAAACACTCTTATGGGTGTGTGTGTGTCTGTGTATCAAGAGGTCTACCATATAAAGATCCTTAAAGAAAAATTCCTAAAACTAGTCACAAGCATTACTATTGCTTCTTACATCCAGATTAATCAGATTGGATTGGATGCAACCTTGGGTAGTTARATGGCACTTGTAGTCTTTTTTTTGATAAATGCCACTTGTAGTCCTACTGCTCCCATATGGAATTGTAGAACAAAGGATAACTTTTAAAAGTTGAGAGACCAGGCAATGCTGTTTAGACCCAGATTGTTTACAAAATAAGAAAGATGACTGGGTCACAACTTGAACATTCCAACCAGAATGACCTCTGATGCCATATTGCCATATTTTAGAATATACAAAATATTTAACAATAATAACATGTAGATGGGTCACTGCTTGGTGCAGTGGTAAAATCTTAAGTTGACAAGCATGAGAAGGCGGGTTTAAAGTCTGAGAGTGGCCACTTTGTGCAAAAAATGCCTAAGGTTAGGTCTGCTTCCAGTCCACTGTCCAAAGATTCCTGATGGCTGGCTGGAACCAACATTGGGCAGGCCTGTAAAACAATAACATGCACATAACTTGTGGGTGGATGGTTATTCTTGATTTCTGTGAATGTTGTAGCCTCTCTCTTCCAAGTTTGAGTCTCTCAAATTGTCGTTTCTTAAGAAACAAAGAATTAGTTTAAAGCGGACAATCCAGGTAGATTAAAGGTTTTCATCAACAATAGTGGTTTCCATCTTTTCAGAAATGTTAAAATCATGGTTTGAAAAGATTAAAGTAGGCATTGGGTCCTGTCCTGGATTGAAAAATTATGATTTGAGCAAATTCAAAAAAAAAAAAAAAGGCAGGACTGCTACCTTGCCTCCACCCCAAAACAGAGGCACAACACACAAATTCCCATTTGTCCTTGTAGTGTATCTCATTCTCATAAACTTGTCCTTACATTAGGGCTTGGGTCCTAAAAATTGACTAATATCTGGTTTCCTATATCAACCAGGGGTTTAGAGTTGTAGATTTACTAATGTAGTGTTCAAACTTGAAACGTTAAGGCATTAGTTTTTGGAGCTTGTAAGGAAAAGTTGGTTTTGCTTTTGAAAATTCCAGCTACTGCCAAAAGGTTGTCAAAACATACAAAGATATCATATCCAACCTCCGGAATGCATAGCAAAGGCATTTTCTCAATGATTAAGATTATAAGGAACTGAATACAGAAAAAGATTCTTGGAATATATAGTAGGATTGGCATTTATTTTTTTAATTCCAGATAAACAGGAAATTATAGAAAGAAAGTGAAAACTAATTTTAAATAACGTCCTGTAAAAGAAAAGAAAGACGAAATTGCAATAATTCACTTTAAGACCCGTTCTACTGCAAGTATAGTGGCTTTAACAGCACAAAGCCTCCTACATGTCAATATCCTTCAAATTTGCTAGGTCAGTTCATTTAACCAGCAAATTGTTGTCAGATAAAAGTTAATGATCAGACCAAACGAACGAAATAATGATCAGAGAAGAAAGGAAGCTCTTAGTTGTCAAAATCCAAAACTTTTTAATAAATACCTGCGAGGAAATAGGAACCCCTCCCAGAACCCCCAAAGTAATAACCGCAATGGAAAAGAGAATGTAAATAAATCCTTACTGCCCACCTTTCTCTTGATCTCATGAATCGGTGTCTCTGCATCTTCAATGTCCGGCACAAAGGTTGACGAGACAAGACCTGGATCCTTAACGACCGCCGCGACGTAGTTGAAAATGCACATGGACGCCGTTGCCGTGAAAATGACGGCGTTCATGAATCCCGGAGAAGTCCTCAGACCGAACCAACCGTCTATGAAAACAAAGACGGTGGTATAATATATGTAAGCGATAGTCGAGAGGACAACTAGGACTGGGAGAGAGATGCTACAGCTCTCCCTCATCTTTTGAGATTCCCGGGTTTTTTCCGTGTTAGTCAAGAAACAATGGGAGGACGAGAGAGTTACCGGAGAACGACGCAGAGAGCTACAGGAGGGGCAATTAAGGGATTCAGAGGGGAGCCCAAGAGGGAGGTACTTGCAAGGAACGGCGTCAAGGTATCATGGTTTGACGGTCGGAGCCACCGGCGTTTGTCACGACGGCAGTCTCCGATGTTTCCTGTTTTCGCGAATCAACGGGCGTCTGCAACAACCGGTTGATTCCTTGACGTTGGTTCCGGAATGCGGATAGTCACGGGATTTGTTATTTGTAGGCAGGTGAATGGTAAATGGACCGTTGTTTTCGTATTACCTAATTACCCTTCATTTCTTCTTCTTTTACAAATCTTTCTTTCCCGCCGGTCAGTTTCCCTTCCTCACGTCCATGTCCCATCCACAAGACAAGAGTCAAGACAACCACCACCGACCACGTATCTGAAATCTGAGGTAGTCGTACCTTGTGGTATGTTTGGTGATACGGGTAGACCCAAATTAGATCCATGCCACATTTAGAACTTGGACTATCACAAAGGCCCAAATTCTTCTGAAATACATCCCACAGCGATTATCCAATCAAAATTTGGCCAAGGTTTCAGGTATGGATCCAACTTATAATCTGAGCCAAATATGCAAATGGACCAGATTTTGATCCATAATATAGAATCCTGTCAAGTTCCAAACCTGCATCCAAGCCCATTTTTACCATCCTGGTTGTGACTTGTGAGTCTAGATTTGGCTCGCTTTGCTCAAGATCCAACCCGTTTCATGCCCTATTATAAGGCAAGAAACACGGGTAGAACTGTACAAGTAGCTTGCTAATATGATACACAATTGCTGTGTTGAAATGGAGCAATTTGATCACTCGGATATGGTAAGCATGTGGGTTGAATCTGTGAAACTGTCCTACCCAATGCTTAGTCATTTGGGAATTGGGATGGTTCTAACTCCTAAAGTTAAATTTTATTTGRAAAGAAATCTTGGTTTAGATAAGGGCCCATAACGTGATTAAATCACAAGCCAAATCTCAGCCCATGGACATCGTAATACAAGGGCCCATTTGGGAGGGCTGAAGCTGTGATTGAACTGCTTTGAAGAAGCTACCAAAACAAATTTCACCTTAAAGCCATATTTTTGGATTGAGTGACAGCAAATATGGGCTCCACCTAAAAGCCCTCCAAACAGCATTAAACCACAAAAAGGATTTAATTTTTTAATGGTACGTTTTAAAAGTTTAGATACTGGATTAATATGTTTTAAAGTTTTGACCAAAATGATACTAGACCCAAAATACTGATTACTAATCTGCAATTTTTAAATATGACAAAGACATGATAAGAAACAAAGAGCAAAGAAAATTCATGTTACGGCATATCACATGTATAAAAAAAGAAGGGAAGGTATTTTTCATTATTTGTTTCATGTTTGCTCAAGTAAACATAGATTTTATAGCCATCTCCATTTACAACGTTTTCCTTTGCTATGTAATGTGTTTACCAAGGTTTTTAAAACCGAACTGGACATGAAACCGTTTTAGGGATCGGTTCCCAAGTTGAATGGTTCAATTGTCTGGTTCAAGCAAACAATCCGTTCTAACTTAAAAAATAAAAATAAATAAATAATGGCTAAAAACCGTTGTCTAGGTCAATGGTTTGATTGTCCGGGTCAACAGGTCATTGACCAAATCAACAGTTTTTGGCCAAAAAACAATTTTAAGGTGAAATGGAACCGGATACCTGACTGGTTCTCAGGTTTTTTGGTATGACCGTTCGGTCCAGTCAGGTTTTCAAAAACCATGGTTTTACTATCTATATTATTTTTATAGCCATATATAAATTTGCAAAAATGACCTAATTGACCCTATATTATTGGATTTGGGAGGGGATCGTAATGATTAGACCTGTTCATAGGCCAAGTTGGACCAGACTTATTTTAGAAAACCTGAGCCCAGACCAAAAAATAATTAGGTCTGATATTGAAAGCCCAAACCCAAATCCACGGGCCAAAAATTTTATCCAAACATAAAAAATCAGGCCGAGCCAAACTGACCCGTCGGACAACTCGGCCCATGCACAGTTCTAGTAACGACCATGGTGATATGAGAAGCGGTTTCAAGCGTAATGGTTGCCTGGTAGCCTTCAATCTCCAACCGTTATTCTTGGTAGCGAAGCTAAATCAATAGATTTGCTATTATAGATATCTCTCCCCATTGACTGGTTGCGATATGATGTGCATTATATATGTACTAGTAGTTCCTTTGGTTCAGGCCTAGAACTATAGTATAGAGACAAGTTTCTGTTGGCTTGTCTTAAGTCTTAATGTCAATGCTGTTACTTACCAACCAAATCCATTGATTTTCCATGAACGTTTTGCTCCTTGAAAGAACAATTAAGGAAGAAGGGAAACACTAACTCCTACTATGGTATGGTATGGATGCCAATGCCACCTAACCCCCATAACCCATTTCTTAAAAGACGAGATCTTGAGATTGTGATTGGGTGTTCTATTTAATTTTATTTTTTCAAACAAAAGCAACTGCCATATCATATCAGTAAAATCTTGTATTGTATTAGGGACTGCAGTCTAACCAATAATAATGGCCCTAATCGGCCAAAGTGTATATGCCCCACAACCACTCAGCCTCTCGCTTGAGATTGGATTTATTTTTCACATAGGCTCTTTGCACCCACCTCAGAACAAATTTAAACATCTCCCTGTTAATGATAATATACAAGTATAGCAGATGTGCTGTGAGGTTGGTGTAAGGAACTTTATGTATTGAGGCTCTCACTTCACTTACATGGCTGATATGGGGCCTTATCATTGATAATTATGAGGCTCTCACTTCATAATTCCATCATTCAAATAAAATCTCAAATTAACATTTAACCTAAAAGTTTAACTTGTTAGGTGATGAGGTCCTTAAATAGGTTTTTATTCTTTAGCTTGTCCCTCATATAAAAGCCTATTAAACTTGAAAGGTAGAGGATCAAACACTAGACCGTTTGGTCAAATAGGCTCTTATACCATTTCAAAGAACCATTTTACTTAAAAGCTTAAATTGTTAGGTGAGATCCTTAAATGAGTTTTTATTTTTTAAAACAAAACCATCGTAATTTGTCTTGGTTTTTTTGTGTGTTTTTAATTTTATCCAAACACCAACTAATTAATAGCATTGTTTTCAAAACCAGATCGAACAGTCAGACCAGAAAAAACCGGGAACCGGTTCCGTTTTACCCCAGAACCGTCATTTTAGCCAAAAAACCATTGATTTGGTCAACAAACTGCTGATCCGGGTGGTCAAACCATTTGAACCATCCAACGATTTTTTGGCCGTTTTTTATTTTTTATTTTTGTCAAAATGGGCCATTCGTTTGGTTTGAACAGTCTGACCATTTGAATTGAATGATTGAACCATTGACCCGGAGACCCAAAAGAAAGGTGATTGTTGCAATTGGCAATGGAAGTTTTAATTTGCTCGGGGGCCACGGGGGAGGGGGGTAGCTAGTTGAAAACTCCAAGGTAGTGGATTATATTCATAGAGTATAATCCCATGGTTTTTAAAATCGACCCGGAGATCGAACTGGTCAGTGGGTCCAGTTACCGGGTCGAATGGTCCGACCATTCGAACAGAATGCTCGACCCGTTCTAACAAAAAAATAAAAAACAGTCAAAATCGTTTGAACGATTAACCGCCCGATTCAACGGTTTGTTGAGCAAAATCAACGATTTTGAAAGAAATCTGATTTTTAAAAAAAATGAAACTGATCACCTGACTGATTCCAATTTTTCCGGTCCAACCGTCCAATCCGATCCAGTTTTGACTATGTATAATCCTTTAGGAAGGCGCAAGGATTAAGTGGTGTTAACTGTTAACACCGGCTCGTCTAATACATTATTGTTGTCGCTAGAATTGATACCCTTGTATCTTATTGTGCCTAAGCCTGGGTGTATCATGTATGTCAAATATTTTTAGCGTACGTTGGTCATCCTCATTTATATGTGAAATTAATCGGGAGAATGACTGATCAGTCTAAGTCAAAATTTTGTAATCCCACCATATAGGGGATGAATCCTGACCATGAATTGATATCAAATTCACGGACAAGATGTAATTTATGGGCTACTAATAGAATATGGGGGTTATCATTCAAAATTGTGCATTGAGTTGCATTAGGCTGCAGAGTACTTAACCCAAATTAAATTTGCTCTTGTTTTGATTAGTGAAGTGACATGAGAGCTTGGGCCTATGCCTTCCAGTCTTCCACCATGACAAATTTACGTGTTAGTGTTTCATTGGAGGGAGGGTCGCAGGAGGGTCTTAGAAACCTTATTTTGCAACATACCCTCAAATTTAAGAAAATAAAATTGAAAATCATCACCTTTTTTCATATATGATTTCGTCCGAGACAACTCGTTAACAATAAAATGGAAGGTAAAAGATTAACCTAAAGAGAATAAAATGGAAGGCCCTTTCTGTAATAGTGTAATACGATATACAATTTTTTGAATAGATATATAAAAAGAGCAAAAGGCAGTGTAAAGGAATTAAATTAAGGAAAAATTCCTGATTAGTAATTATACTTTGGCTCTAATATAATGTGGTCCCCAAATTTTAAAATGTGATAATTTAATATCTGAACTTTTAAAATGTGACAATCCAATACCTAAACTTTCAAAATGTGACAAATTGACATTTGAAAAGTCAAAAATGCCATCTAATTCTCTTTATCAACCATCCAAACATTGACAATAAAATAAAACATCCCAAACTCTAGGTTCTTTTAAACAGTCACCAACTTTTTTGAATAGAAGAGGCTAGGATTTGGGATTGCTCAGTTTTTTGTCAACATTTGGATGGTTGATAAAGAGAATTAGATGGTATTTGAAGGGCATTTTTGACTTTTCAAATATCACCTAACGGTTGATTAACGATAGGTACTAGGTTGTCACATTTTGAAAGTTCAGGTATTGGACTGTCGCATTTTAAAGTTTGAGTATTGGATTGTCGCGTTTTAAAATTCGGGGACCAAATTGTCACTCGAGCCAAAGTACAGGGTACTGATCAGGAATTTTCCCTTAAATTAATCCAAGTGATGATTATTAACACTTGGGAAGATCCAATGGTGGAGGCGGAAGCTTCTAATTCCTCAGTTTTTCATCCAGCACAATCCATGCCATCTAAGCCCCAACTAGTGTGCACTTCCAAGTGGCAATTAATACATGAACCACACATTTGTTGGTGCATTACGAAAATAAATCATGTTTAAAGAAGCTTTAAAGAAAAGAACTAAAACTGAAATAAATATGAAGAACAATTCTTCACTAAATACTTAAGAGAAAATCAATATAAACCTCTTAGCTTTATCCTAACTATTATTTATATAGGCTTTTTTACACCATTATGTCTCCTACAAGGAACTTTTCTAATCAATTTTGAACACTCCTAAGAATTCTATTAAAACTCTTCAAAAAGAAAGTCATAATGGAATTCAAATTCGAAAATCTTATTGTAACTCTAACTTGGTAAATACGAACTAAGATAGAAAACCTTACAACAACGTTAACTTGGTAAGAATGAACTAAGATAAAAATTTCATGATGATGCTATCTCGGTAAATATTTACTAAGTTGGTTTAGTGCCATCACCTCTGCTTCTTACATGTTTTGTAGTGGTCCCAACTTGCATAGAACTTATTAACTTCCTTTTATATTGCATCATCCTCCTCCTATATATACTAAGATAGGTTTTCAAAAACCAACTTTATAAATGTTTGCTCAATTGGTGTGAATCCTATACTACATCACATATTCAATGTTCAATCACCCATACACAACTCTATTAACACAACAGCTACGTATATATTTGGCATCAATGTTGTAGATGCAGCACCGTTTTCTCATAAACTAAGTTGTTGCCCTCAACTTTGTATTTAGCAACAACAATATATAGAGGGAGAGGAATAAATACTAATAATTGTTCAGTTGGTTAATAATTAATTAGCTGGTGATTCTGCTGAGAAAGAAATGTACAAAGAGCGCACCATATATATCAACTACTCAACTCTCTCAGATTGATCACAAGTCGGTTTAGAGTGTTATTCACTCCTAAGTTTTGGTTCTATTACTGTCTAATAACGATTCCTAGGGCTTAACTAACACTCCTTTATTATCTGCTTAACATATTATCCCTCCCAAATTTCCAATAATGTCCATTTTCTTTTCGGCCCGTTTCTGCATTGTCCAACAAAATAACCACATTAAAATCGACATTTTGGTACATTCCTGTCATTTTGAGAGATCCATCTTGGTGTTGGAGAGACCAGAGCAGAGAGGTGGATTGATTGAGTAGACAATAATATTCAGGGGACAAGCGAAGCGGAAAGGGACTCACTGCACCAACATCATCAACTCGAGATTACGCTAGCTAGAAGTATAGAGGGTTGAAGTGTTATGTCGTAGCCATCAACCTCCTACCGTTAACATTTGTGGTGGTGAAGGCAAATCAATCGACGAAAAGACTGACCGATGTTCGTTGCTCCTTTCTAACATTAGCTGTACGGAAAATTGAATTAATGTTCGTCTTTAGTTGAAGTTGGCCTTCATTTCATAACAAAATCACACACCCTTGTATCTGGGCCAAATCTAATTTCTTGTTCAGGAAGCGTGCATGACCCAGAGTCCACCAACCTGGCCTAATAACCTATACCCATTTTCGGCGATTCATTCATTATACGTTGAACACGTCAAAAAAACTAAAAAGTATGGACAGGTTCAATGTAGATTTCTGATTTCCGCTGCGAGCTATAAATATTTAAAATGTCAATAATCCATACTCTATGCATTAATGTTCGCCTATAAATTCGGAACTGACACCTACTCTAACAGTATTTTGGGCCTATAAATTCTGACTCTGGGCTAAACCATTATTCTCCCCAAAATAAAAAGTTCTAATACATCAGTCGATTAATACAGTGGCGGGGTCAGAAGTTTTCTCTTAGAGGGGTTATGAGAAAGAAGGGAAAATGGAGATTAGCTGAAAATTTTTAAAGTGCATTTATGAAATGTAATTTACAAATAAAATCTAACCATAAAGTTCAGTTTAAAGTTTCTGCTAAGGTTAAAGTTAAAAAATATGAATCCTATTAAATTTCGGGCTGGGTTAAGATTGAGATATTGTTCAATCCAACCTTATAATATATAAATAAATAAGTCATTCTAATTCAAATCCAATTCAAACAAATTAGATTGACATAAGAAAAAAATAATCTGTTAAAGTTAGAATTAGACCATGATTGAGATAAATCAGTATTAATATGACTCTGCCCACCTAATAATATTTTTCTTTAAAATGTTTTTGGGGGGCCAAGTATTAGCCCAACCTGATTGTTTGCATATGGGATGGGCTACCCCTAGCTAAAGGTATAGGGTGGGAAAAGTTTGGGGGGAAAAAGGACCCCCACCCAATAATTTGTCTCCGACTTAATAGGTACTCGACCCTAAACTACACAATTTGGCTATTACATAATTCGTATAAGGGGTTAGATAAACAGGGTAGATTAAGTTGAGAGATGGTCACGATTGTCATTACAATCACAGAGATAAAGTGTTAGCTGGCTGCTATTGCAGCTCGACTGCTCCAATATGAATATTCCAAATTGGAGCATCTTTTTTCTCGAATTGGGGAAAAAGTTGGGTGGCTCTATAATATATACCATAAATCAGCCTTGTTAGTTCAAACCTAAGATTGCATTTCTTCCACTTGATTTATATGTCATCTATTGTGTCATCTATCTTTATTGAATTATTTGAGTATATGTTTGGAAATGCACAATTCCATGACTACTTTCCATTTCCATTTAAGCGTTCCAATATTCTCAAGTCGAAAAACATCCCACTACAAATCCCCCCCCCCCCAAATGTTAGCCCGAATTCAATCTTAACCCAACTTGAAAAGGCCGGATTTGGTTGGGTTGATTTGATGCTTGGGTTAGGGTTAGGCTTAGGRTTAAAATTTATAAATCCGACTTTACTTCAGATTGGGTAAGGGTTGATTCCTCGGGCAATTCGATCCAACCCAAACCTGATTTTATAGTACATTTCGTATATATATCATACATTGATTTGTTTAGATGCATGATAGTGTATACTCACCACCACACAGTATCACTTGTTTCATTTAAAATAATCACTTCACTTAATCCTAATTGGAAATACTAAAACCTTAATAACATATTTTATGTTTTCTAAATATTTTATTATTTATCTCCTCTCTTTTGTTTGCCACTCATAGCTTGTTGTCCATAAAAGATCTATTATAAGTCATCATAATAAACTATAGTCATGCCAAACACTTTTTTTTCTGAATTTTGTACTTAAAGAACCAATAAAAATATCAATAAGCAAATACTAATAAAACATAGGATTAATATATGTAATGAAAGTTGAGTTAAGATATAAGATTAAGAAATTCTACAAGATTTTAAGGGATGGGAAGAAGGTTTGGTTGGGCCCAATTCAAGCCCAACCCAACCCAAAGTTGAAGGAATTTAGTTAGGCTCTGGATTGGGTTAGGGATAGGGTTGAAGGAATTTAGTTAGGCTCTGGGTTAGGGTTGGGTAGGTCGGGTTGGGTTAGGGTTAAGGTTGGGGGTTTAGAACTTAGGGTTGCACTAGGGTTGGCCTCAACCCGACCTAACTCAGCCCGACTCGCATCCCTAAATTATACACTAATTTTATGATTTATTTACAGTTTAGGATTTTAAGGGTTTGAAGTTTAGAATTTAGGGTTTTTGGTTAGGATTTAGGGGCTCGGGTTTAGAATTTAAGGGTTTGAAGTTTAGATTTTAGGGTTTAGGATTTAAGATTTGAGGTTAGGGTTTAGGATTTAAGAGTTCAGATTTTAGGGTTTAGATGTAAATATGTGGAGGTGGTAGGATGCATGTCCTCCAACGTGGTAGAAGACAAGTATTGCCCATATTCATTAAGATTTATATACAAACGTTTACTTCAAAATAGCCTTAGAGGAGATGAAGCCTATGATCAGATCAACATGCTCTTTATGCGGGGAGCTAAATTATATTTCTGATTGTATATGATCTCCTTTGTTTCTAATTTACCAGTAATATATTTAGGCCCTACTGAAAAGATCTAAATAACTTTCAAGATGAGTTCTGTATAYACACCATATATAGAATAAAGCTGCAATTGGACCATGCTAGTAATTGCTCAAAGAGACATGAGGCTGGTTATCGGAGTGATGTGGATCCAATAAGTATAGAGGAGATGAATCAATAGGGAAAATAGCTATCTCAAAATGGTGGTACGTAAGCTCTCACTTGTTTAGTATCTTTGTACCTTTGGTTTTGCTTATTTTCAAAACTTAAATTACATTAAAAATCAGTGGAGGAGAAAACCCTCTGAACAAGCAGTTGCCCAACAGACAGATCCCGTTGCCTTCTCCAATGAGGTAAGGATTTCTTATATAATTCTTCTTTTTCTTTTTTAATATTTAGCAATTATATTTGTGCTCAGGATCCTATAGGTACTAAATTTATTTTTCATCAGTTGACGCATTTTGCTTAGCTAGATTTAATGGGTCTTTCCTTGTTTTAATCTGGGAAGATTATTTTACTGATGTGGTGTTTCTCCTTTGTTTTTGTGATTAAATTCAATGGTTATATTGGTCTTCTAAAGAATTGTAATCCCCTGAAGTTGCTTGATCCTGTTTTATCGAATGGCCCAAAATCTTGGTCCATGGATAAAGCAAACTGTTCATAGCTCAGAATGTGTTTTCCTCGTCATGGTAAGCCAAAGAAGAAGAGGGTTTTCTCCTCGGGTCCATTAATTAGCTCCCAGCCTCCCAAGACTTTCTCTTGCGACATTTATTATGCATAGAGAAGTGTACATGACGAGTGATTAGAGAGTCATAGAGAATGGTTATTTGGCCTAAGATCAAAATATCAATACCTATATGTCAATGCATCCAAATACGCATGGATCCAGCCATGGATATAAATATCTTTTAATCGTTGAATTGAACCTGAACCATACGTTCTATATCTTTATACTTTTCTTTTCATCCATTTAAATAACTTTCGGTTTGAATGTTTTAAGGCCTTAACGAACATAGAAATAGTTTCCTATTTCCCTGAATATAACTTAATTTTCAAGGATAAAATGAGAATAAAAATAATAAGATACTAATTAAATTAACCACGAGAGAGAGGACTCGTAGATTAGACTTCAATATTATTGATGTTATTGCAGAAGCTTCTCAAAAAACATATCAGTCTTCTTTTCAACGTTACAAAACCAGAAAAACTTCACCACCAATTCTTTGGCCCCTTCTTTTCTACTTATTTGCGGGAGGCAGGAAAAATAAATGAACAAACTACAATAGGTGTTGGTTAAAACGTTTGCTCCTCTGTTACTAGGGAAAAGGAGGAGCAATATTCCAACACAATACAATGGAAAAGGGAAAAGGGAAAAGGGAAAAGGGAAAAACAAACAAACGATGAATAAGTTAAACCGGTACATGCACTCAGATCGAGTCAAAAAATCAAGAACGAATCCGAACAATCAAACAATTAATCAACGTTAACATTTGGGAAGATCAAACGGCGGAGGCGGTAGTTTCTGATTTGGGAGCTTCCCATCCATCACGACCCATGCCATCTTCAAACCCCAACTCGTATGGACCTCGAGGTGGCAGTGCATGAACCAGACCCCTGTGGATTGTACAGAAACCAAATCAAATAAATGTAATAAAAGTGAGAATGAGAAACGTACGTCTATCGTTTGATATCATGGTGGTTCATGCATGATATATACAGCGTTTAGCTTTATTACTAGCTAGGCTGCTACTCACCTGGATTGTCAGCGAAGAAGCGAATAGCAACCCATCCACCAGACGGCACGCCGACGGTGTTTCTTTCCACGGGATCCACAAGATTGAAGTTGGCAGGGTCCTTGTTGGGATCAAAGTTGCCAAAGCCCTGGCCAACTACGAAGAAGTTGAAGCCGTGGAGGTGGAGAGGGTGGCTTTCTGCACCAAGAATGCTTGTGTCCTGCATCACTAGCTCTACGCTGGTGTTGAACGGCAACACCACAACTTTAGTGCCATTGGTCACTAGTGTGTTGTTTGGTGGAGTGCCGGTGTAATTGAAGTGGAGTGGTGGGTTCGTTGGGAAATCAGTGGTGTAAACACCATTGGCCTGGCCGAGGAAATGGGCTTGGAGGAGAGCTGTGGTGGGCATTGCGAAGGAGACATTGTTCACAGAAGCGGAGAACTTAGTGCCATTGGGACCTTGGCAGGTTTGGTTCTGAGGGCATGGGCTTGTCCCGAGCCCCACCGTGAAGAAGAACTGCTTGTCAACGGTCTGGGGGACGTTAGCAGGAAATTCAGCTGTGGCCAAGCTGCGCAATCTGTTTGTAAAATTGGCGACGAAGGAAGTGTCATTGAGGACAGGGAGGACTGGTTTGAAGAGCTGAAGCTTCTTGATTGAAGAATTGATGGAGAGAGAGGAATCGGAGGGCTCATACTCGAGGATTCCAGCAGTGGTGGAGTTGTCGAATGTACCAAGGCCGGTTAGATATGGCCTGGCAGCCATGAGGAAGGTGGCATTGGGGAAGTGGGGCTTGGTCTTGAGAAGGACATTGGTGGTCTGTCCTGGTGCGATGACAAGTGTGTCAGTGTCCAAGGGTTTTACGTAGACTGCATCAACATCGACAACTGTGAAGGTGTGGTTGGCGATGTTGAAGAAGAGCTCATCATTGAGTGCGGCGTTGATCAATCGCAGGAGGTAAGTCTTGCCGGGTTTCACTTTCAGCTTGAACGTATCTGCCAATTAAGTCATGCATGTGTCAAAGATCAAATGAGATAGTACAATAAGCTTATGATTCCCAAAATGCATGCTCTATTAAGTCTTGTAAGTAGTAAAAGCCATTCTATAGCTAGTGTTAAGGGAATTGAAGGGTACCTTTGGCGGAGCAATTGTACAAGGGACCGGGTAACCCGTTAATCGTATAGGCATCAGAGACGTTGGGGCCCCCTCCCGTCTGCAATGCTTGGTTGATCACCGCCTCAGGGTCAGCGTTCCACCATTCTCCTGAAAACTCATCAAATCAGAGTTGAGAGTTGATGACCGTGAGAGACTAATTAAGAAGAATTAACAATGATCGAGGAACAAGAGAGATGCTTGTTGGTAGTCGGTTACCAAAAATGATGGGGACTTCCTTGTAGGGTTTGGCGAAGGGGTAGGAGGAATTGCGCTTGGGAAGAATGACAATGGGTCCGTAAAGGGTAGACCTTAGCCACGAAATGTGGGCATGCCAGAAGAGAGTTCCTCTCTGCCCTGTAATGGTGAAGTTGTACACATAGGACTGGCCAGTCTGCATGGGGCACTGAGTAATGTATGCCGGTCCATCTGCCCATCCGCTCTGCAGCTGTCTAATTCCATGCCTGTTTTCAAACACATTCAGCCAAGTTTCTGTTTAGAACGGAAAATAGGTTGCAAACTGGATATATATATGACCCGGCTGCCGGCCGGCCAGGATTATTGGAGATGAGTGTCTCCTTACCAGTGCAAGGTGATATTATTTTGAACATGGTTAACAACCTTCACAAGTACCCTGTCACCTTCCCTAGCAACGATTCGAGGTCCAGGAAACTTCCCATTGACAGTCACTATACTCTTTGTGTGGCATAGCCGTGTCACGTTCTGCAGCTTGATCTGCAAATTAATGCAAAGTAAACAGAGTGAATATGAGATATCTAAATGTAAGCATCTCTGACGATATAGATGCATCTAAGTGCAACTACTTTTGGCAATGCGGTGCAACATACTTCGAATTTGTAGTGCCTTGTTATTCCTGAATGCTGAGCAGCTATGGGTAGGAGCCACAAGTTGCTCAATAGCACCACAAGAGCCCCCACAAGTGTTGATGATGGAAGAACAAAGGAACCCATATCTCCCTCTTTGATGAAAAGAGAAGACACAAGATGAATCAACTCAACTGATTCCTGTAGACGTGTTCGTGAAAATGTTCTTGAGGCCGCTTTATATAGAAGAAGTCGAGGGTATGTTTGGTATACGTTAAATGCTGATAGATACTATTAAACGGAAGACGACAATGAAAGCACTTTTCTTCAACAAACTTCAATCGTGTTTTGATGATCTGATCAGAAGTTCACTAATAGATGTTGATCGAGCTTAATTTTAGAGTGCTATCAAAGTCAAATTATTTATTTTATCAGAACAATGTTTCTTGGGGAAATGCCCTTTACAAAAATTTTGTCTTATAACTTGCAGATGACTTTTGTCGAGCTTACTCTTGGAGACTCTCAGACTCAAGTTGGTTGGACAATGGAGACTCTCGGGTCAAGCACTTTTCTCCACCAATCTTCATTAATTCTTACTCTACATCACATTCCTTCCATATTAAGAAGCTCTCTCCTCTTCAAAAGTACTCTTCTTACTTCTATGCAAATGCAATGGTCTAATAGGAACTACTGCATAAACCATACGTTCTACCATACTAAAAATTCTGTATTCATACAACTTATGGACTGGTTTACTATGAAAGTTAACTTTCCAGTCTTCTTAAATTTAAAGGGTTGCTCGTTTAAACCTTTGAATGTATAGAAAAATAAATGTCTTCAAGTTGTAGTCTTTCCAACCGGCCGGAAATCTTTACAATCAAGCTAGATTTAATGCTTACCATCTTCTCACTTCTCATCAAGGAGTCGCTTTTGTCGAATTTCTGTCATTTTGGTTTTCGATTTTCATGCACAAATACTCGTCATATTCGGTGGGAAACATTGGTTGGTCTGTGTCGAAACAGGAGAAGGACATTTGACTAACCCAACCTTCTTTCAAGCAAGACATATAGATGGATTTGGTCGTTCCGTTATCTTCTACAATAAAACCAAAATGAAAAAGAAATCAATTAACTACTAACTAGCCTTACAAATGAAGAAACAAATAAAATAATTTTGATTTTGGTTTGATCTCTGCATAAGAATGATCTAGGATCACAATTCAGAAGTAAGGACATTATGTCCAAGACTACCAACTACGCCCCTTGTAAGGAACTCTTTCATATGAGAGTATACATACGATACGATGGGATACTTGTCACAGATTGAATAATGAAAGTGTAGTACCAAAATATGAAATAAGAAATCCGTAATAGTATTTGCCGCATGATTGGAGACTACCCTCCTGTTCCAACTATCCAAACAGACAAGGAAACGGCTTGCAAACTGGTGAACGACCTTGATCTTCCCTTTGATTTTCTTTTATCCGCCAAGAACGTTGCAACTATGGCTGCGTTTAGTTGCAATACAAATTTCATTTGTACTGGTGAAAATGCATAGGAGTGCAAATAGACTATTTGACCTTATTTGGTTTGTGAAAATAAGTAAAATGGTTTTTTATCTCACCTCATCTCTAAGAATGGAAGTAGGAGGGCTATTTGTTTAAGAATGAGGTAGGAGGCAAGAGGATGTAGTCCCCACTTCATATGAAAGATAATTAAGATAGGAAGAAAGTGGTACAAYTTTTGCATCAGTTTAAGCAGTAAATCCACCAAGCTGTTCTCTTGTTAAAGTAGGATTAAACATGCAGCTTAAATCCTTCCCCAAATAGATAATTGATGGCAAATAGAGATAGACTCCAGAAGCCAGGGTCATGGAGAAGGCAAAGATCCAATCAGCCTGGTAATCCCAACCCCTTAACTCAGCTTTCAGTTTTTATTTTTTTTTCTGTTTTTTTTATTTATTTGAAACAACAAAGAGCTTTCTTAGTTTCGTTGGATATAGGATTAAGCACATAACGTTAGTGAATGTCATATTGTTCGACGATATTAAAATGATCCCGACATTACACATTTATTCCAACTGATTAGGGTCCAAGTTAACGAACCTTCTTTTCTTTCACTCCGGTAATTAAAGCATGGAGCCATGGATTACTAAAGAAAACAGAAATGTCACAACGACTAAGACGGCCAGTCCAAACAGCTACCAGCCTACCAGGTGGGCTCTCATGCGTTGCAGCCGAGAATCCCGCCTCTGTCGAAGGCTGGAGAGAGAGAGAGAGAAAGAGAGAGAGAGTACATGGAATATCTTATTGGAAGTGTTAAACTTCAAAGCTACAAACCTACACCTTGTCGGGTACATCAATCACATTGGCATTCAAGGGAAAAAGAATTCATATATATTATATGTCATGCATAACCTAAGTTGATACATATATAATTATATCGATGAAATACATACAATGGTACATGGGTGTGTGACAGCTTCAAACCATGTAGGAATTATCTACTCCACTCTCTCCATTTTCCTGCCATCCTGATGCTGCCCTAAACTTACAAACAGGGCATGTACCTTGTTGCCGCAGCCATGGGTCTATGCAGTTAGCATGGAACTGCAAAAGCAGAAACAGAGTTGTTAATCAAACAACACGTGAATTCATAGGGTAGCCATTAATACTGATCTATGAAGTTATGATGTTAAGAACCAGAACCAGAAAAAATCTAAGAGAACCCTGTATTGTGGCTGCTAAGAAATGTAGAGGGCGGAATTCACCAACAGTCAAAGAYCTAACAAAGGGGAGAGGAGGAACCTGATGCAAGCATGGCAAGCTCCTGATAAGTTCCCCAACATTAACCTGCTCTAAGCAAACACTGCATGTAAGCTCATCTTCTGGAGCCTTGATGCTTCCATCTACCTTGCTGACATCTTGTTTTTTCTGCTTAACAGACAGTAAAATTGAGCGACAATCTTTGCAATGGTATTTAAAGGTGGAAAGAAACGCTTGCTACTGTGTTGACTATGAGCTAGTAATGTCAGTAGCCAAGTAAACCCCTCATGGTGCAACAGCTCGTCTAAACATTTAAACAGAGGGGAAAAAAAACTACTGTCCCACCCATGCTGTAAAGAGTACTATGTTTGCATAACATGAAATTTGTGCATAATCCTTCTAACGGTAAAGAGAAAAGGTTTGAGGGGGAAAAGGTCATGTATATTTTTTAAAGACACCAATACTAGTCAAATGGAAATAACAAACAAATACATAGATGCAATAGATGGAACATGATGATTAATAACAACATAGACATTTTATTCCTAATCACCCTCAATTATCAAAAAAATAATAATAATTACCCTCTATAGTATCAATTGCATATGTCCAGGCCACCATGGGTCCCATGGTTCAAAGTAAGTGACCAAGTACAATTCTGAGATTTTGGCTCCATTTTCAAACCTCAGCTTGGGAACGGGGCTGGTGTTGGTAGAAAATCTTGACTAGAACACATGGAATGGGGAATAAGAGCGAGAGTGCAGGATGATCAAGGAGATTGCCATGTTGGTAATTGGAGTCCATGGCCATGCCATGGTGGTAACCACAATATTGCACTTGACAGTACTGTCATGAAAAGATCAGCTAGTCGGTTGAGGACCAAACAGACTGCGTCACTGACTAGTCAATCAACACTCGTTATGCAGTCACTGCCTGACAACTAAGCATCAACTAGGTCGATTCTATTATGATTAATGACTAGTCATCCTAGCCAACCATTAAATTATTTTAAAGCTCATTTCTTGTGTATTTCTAATTATTTAAAGTAATATTATATATTTGTTCATTTTGTTATATGCTTTTTGTTGCTTTAAATACTTGTGTTGCCACATGGTTGGATCATGGGTATATAAAATAAAAATTAACCAAAAAAAAGGCAGTGGAGGAGGATTTCTTTAAAGTTTTCCACAAACAAGGGACAGACAAAATGCTCAAAAGGTTGATTGATGTAACTCTTTCTTTAAAAAACAAGATTTTTTTTTTTTATGAATAATGAAGAATTTTATTAAGATAAAGTTTATACAGTTCACTGACAATTGGTTACAAAAACAGAGCTCTCCCAGAAGGTACAAAGTAAAACAAGGTTCTTTTTCTGTAATATAAAAAACAATGCTCTTTTTTTTGTTAAAAAAAAAAAGATTCAGTCCACGATTTAATGGGCAGACCAAGTAAGGAGCCCTATTAATGCATGTAGTAGATGTATCAAGATTTTATGGCAAACTATTGCTCACGCTGTATTGTGGGGTATTTGGAAGGAGAGAAATGATCACATTTTTTACAAGGACAAGTCCCAGGAAGAGCTGCTCTCTTACATCATCCATAGATGTTTTATGTGGAAAACCAGCTCTGAGCACCTGAAGGTATCTCTGTAAATGACCTCCATGGGAATTCAGTTAACTATTTCTTCTCTTGCCCCAGGCCCTTGACCCTCCCCTGAGGTTCTACCACTAGAAAGGATGGGGTGATGGCTTTGAATTTTGATGGTAGTGCCTCTAGCAATCCGGGTGTAGCTCAAATTGGAGGTGTAATCAGAGGAAGGGACAGTAACATTTGTTGGGCTTTCAGTGGAACAATTGGTATATTGCAGACTCTACTAAGGCTGAAATTGTTGCTGCTATCACCAACATCTGCATAGCTAGAGACTTGGGTACCCTGAATCTAACTATAAAAAGGAGATTCTGCAAACACTATCAAGTGGTTACAAGAAGAGGGTGGTCCCTAGAGACTAGCTCATTACTTGGCTGAAGCTAGAGGGATTTTAAATTGAATAAATTCTATGAATGTAAACCTGTGTTGGATTCCTAGGGAACTAAATTCTCTTGCTGATGGTCTATCCAAATATGTTGCTTTCTTGGATTGCCTGTATAGTGAAAATTCTCCACCTACGTAGTCTTGTGAGGTTTCTGTGTTTGGTTTCTCTATTGTACATCACCTCATGTACTCCATTTTAATGAATGAAATCTTAGTATCCTTTCTCAGGAAAAAAAAACAGGTAGAACTATTCTACCAACTTACAGGTCTTGTGCAAAATATACAAACTTGGGTCTGGACAACCTCAGTTCAAGAAGGCAGAAGGTATAAAGGTTGAAGGTCATGCTGTTAGTGAAAATAACAAACAGTATCAGGTTGATGGAGGACAAAGACAAACCAAAAGAGGGAAGCCTTAACTAAAGGTTGCTTACAAGAAGGGAAGAAATATGAAAAGGATAAAGATGGAGCAAACCACATAGTGAATATTGAACTAGCTATATCTCCACCAAGGATGCTGAGATGGAAGAGTGACACGTATGAAATGATAAAACTACATATAAATGCATTTAGGAGACCTAACAATAGCCCCTACAAGTATGAGGTAGTGGTGCCAAAGAGATAGAGTGTCTGACATAACAAACTAGGGGGATTAGTCCATCTTGAGTTTTCAACATAAAATGACTTATGACTATACTCAACATAAGCAGTTCTGCACAAAAAACATAATAAATACTATATAGAAAACACCAAGAAACAGGAGATATATTATAAATTAAAATTTGATGACAATTCTATCTAATATGGCCAAATTTCAGAAAATTATGTGTTCTCTGACATGATCTTCAAAATGATGAAAAAGAACAATTTTTGCAGAAAATGTAGTGAAATTTGTAGGCACATGCTTAGCAGAAAATATGGCACAAGTAAAAAGGATCATATGATAATGAATTAAAAAAAAAAAAAACTTTTTCTTCAAATTGTAGCAGTTACTAGCATTTCATACTTATTAATGACAAAAGTTACCAAAACCATGACAAAGTAATCCCAGAAAATTCAGTTAACCTTCAACCTCAGGTCACTTGTCAAGGCTGATGTTAGTGAGACTTGTACTACTTCTTATCATTATTTTTCTCTTCTCTTTTTCCTTGGTCATTAATTTCTTGGATTTCTACCACAATTCATTCAACTATCTTCTTTTTCACAATATAATTTCTTTGGCTTAATAAGGTTCAAGATCTTATTTTTCTTAACTTGTAGCTACAAAGGCGGAATTTAACCCAAACAATAAGACTTAACCCTTGAATTAGCTCTTAATCTTCCATATAGAAATAGAATATGCTTGTCAGTCTTTCCTGCAGGACATTGTATTTGGTAAACAAAGTTTGTAATACACCTTGTGAATCATTACTATCTATTTACCTAGTACAGAGAAGAAGATTTTGATTAGACAGATATTCTTGCTTGTATACTACTCTATCAAGATAATCATGAGGTAAATAAGCAAGTAGCTTATCTATAACTTATTCTTGCTTGTATACTACTCTATCAAGATAAAAGAAGAATACCTCAGCTGCAGATGAAGAAGATGATGCTTGTTTTACTGATGAACCATCACTGTTAACAATATTATAATTATGTCAAAACATTTTGACAAATTGCAGCATTCCCAAATTTTCCACTTAAGTGTCCCGAAAAATACAAGGATTTGAACTTGCCTATGTGGGACAGTGACCTTGTACTTGTGAACAGGAAGGGCATTGATCTCTTCCTCACTCATTGAAGGAACTGTAGAAGCATTATCAGCATCTAGTGCTCTCAAAGTTTCATAATCTGCAAAATTATTAATAGAACCATTTATCTTCATGAACTATCACACTATTTCAAATCAATGTAGATAAAAATCAAATAAGCTTTCCAAGCCCTTTTCTGCTTTAATGCTTTCTGTCAAACTTTAGTGTCCATCAAAAACAGCTTCTCTGGTAATATCAGAAACAACACTTGCAATCCCATTGTCATGGTAAACTAGTGCTGCCTTTTCAAGTTAAATAGAAAGCATGTCATAGTCAAGCAAGAAATACAACCTAGCAACCAGTACCTAGGTCATCAAATTCACGGTCAAGAAGGGCAAGCTGGAGCCTGAGTCCTTGTAATCTCCCTCTTGTTGCAAACGCTATGGAAGGTGGCATATGCAACCGCAATTCAGTGTGACCTAGAAGACCACTGGCTACTGCAGCATGAGCTTGCGCCTGAGCTTGAAATTGTTGACAAGTAGCATACATCCTGAGGCTGGTGGCCATTAAAAACACTCCCAAAAATAGCCAGAGCTACAAAGTTGAAAGGGAATCTTCTTTAGTTGCCTATAGAATAGTTTATGCTTGCCAGAAAATTATTAATCACCATGGTTAACATGCCCAAATAACAGATATGGTGAAATTACCAGAAAATTTGGTGACATTTGGTGTGAATTTAGTATCATGAACAGTAAAAGAACTGCCAAAGAAACATGTTGAATATGGATTAGATGTAAGCCATAAAAGAAATGAATATAGGAAACAATAGAGTCGATAGAAAAAACAAAAAAGAAACCTGTGACAAGGAAAGCCATTGAATTGGTATTAACTGGCCGGGCTGCAGGAACACGCTGGTATGGATAAAAAAGAACACATGAATACGTAGGTATAAAAGCACCACAAATAAGTTATTAAAAAAGCAACACAAATAATATGTCAACATACCACTGGACGTCGTTCAGGAATAATTCCTGGAAATCCACTTTCTATATCTGCTCTAGTCCCTCTGAATACAAAACTCATGGCTGCACAAGCTTTGAAAGAAATTTTCCTACGTAAGACTCTCAAAGAGCACAGGGCCCCAACCAAGTTCTTCAGTATATTTGTTAGACCTTCAATACCCTGCTAAAGTCTTAAGAGATAAAAACATTAGCATAAGGCTAAGTCTAAGAAATATGTTATGTTAATATTACCATCTTTATAACAACCAAAAGTACAATATCAGAAACTATGACCTAACCAAGAATGCCAACCCAAAAAAAAACACTAACCAAGAATACCTATGAAAAAAATTATATGCATCACATGCACATAAAAACATAAACAAGAAATACAAGAATTAAATGGCAAGGAATACTTTGTCAAAGTTCAAACCCTATAGATAAACACATGGAGACAACCAGCTCAGTAGTGATTGTGCAAAACAAAAAAAAAAGAAAAAAAAAAGTAACCAAATAGTTAAGAAAAGAGAAGATAATTGATTGAGATGATGGGAAAAACTATTTAAAGAGGACTACAGTGCAGGTTGGAGGAACAAGTGGATAAGGGAAAGATTGAAAAGAACATGCATTAGACAGTGACAATGAAGGTCCAAGATGGTCAAATACAGGGCAGGGACACTAATATAAGGATCTAGGATGAAATTCTTCATTTCCCATATTTGAGATCAATGATGCAATTTTTTTTCCTCTTCACATCACAAGTGAGTGTAATGGTAGATGATTCAAATGGTTAGGAAAAGGCAATAATTAGGACAGAAATGCACATATCAAGTCAAATAAACAAGTCAATAACAGTTTAACATGGACTGTCCCCATTCATCCAAGGAGGTTCCCAGTGTAATATTTGCTCTTTCCTAATTAGTTACTTCCAAATTCCAATTATAAATCCATATAACACCAGCTGTCAACACCAGTACAAAAAGTTGCAAATGCAAGAGAGAGAGAGAGAGAGAGAACTCTGATATGAGCAAGACTAATCCAATGACTAGAGMTATCCACAAAACTTTTGTCTTATATCCCCTCACCTAGAAAAGGAGTCAAAAGTATAAACAGAGCTTGGAATGGGTTATACTTGTTGGCAGAATCTTCATCTCAAGAAAGTAACAGTGACACAACATGGGTTTATGGCATATGTGTTGGTTCCGCCTAATCTACATCTGTTTCTTAGATGCAAGTTTTGATGGACTGGTTTTCTACCCACCTAACTGGACAAACATCAAATAAATCTGATGTAGGACAAGGAGAAAAGGTCCTACATGGATGAACATGGTGGGTTAAGATGAGGAAATTATGGATTTGAATTATGAGAGGTCCAGATCTGAAAAGAGAAGAGAAGAAGAAAGAGAATAATAGCAAACCTTCAGAGAAGAAGAACAAAAACAAGAAAACATTTCCTCAGAGGTAACTTTCTTTTTATCAACAAATTAACACTTTCCCCACAGGTAACTTCAAAACAAACTTTTATTTCGTTAAATTAACACTAAAACTCGAATTACAATGACTATTTACAGACTCAACATAAGATCTCAGATCTCTCTTTACAAGCTCCAATTTAGACTTAGAAACTAGCCCAAAACAAATTCTAATTGCTTCAAAACTAAGACAACCTAATAGATAACCAATAGGGACGCCTTAATAAAGACTCTTAACTCCTAAAATAATTCCAAATATCAACTGCCAATCCTACTAAAATTAAAAAATCAAAAACAATTCTAAAAGCAACATTAAAGAATAAAAAACCAACATCCAGTCATTGACTGACACCATATCACTAAAATGACAGCAATTCACTGAAAACATGTTGAGTTTACAAGATCATGGTCTCATTGGATAAATAACTCAATATATATGATCTATCTAATAACACCAAAATCAGACAAAAAACAAGTTTTGATCCCCAAAAATAGGATGAAATAAAAATGGCATAATTGCATCTTCAATTTTTCAAAATGTCAAAAAAACTCTCTTATAAGACTATAAGCTTATTGGATGCTTTAAAACAACCAGTTCTGTTCCTAAGAAACTGACAGCCTAGAAGATAAATTTCAAAAAGAAATAAAAAATATTAAAATTCAAAACACCCAAGAATCACAAAATTGTCATTGGATGAGGAATCAGGAGAAAAGTGATTTCTTTCTCCATGGGTTCTTTCCCTGCTTCCATGCCAGTATCAAAATTATTAACTGATGAAGCAACTATAAGTTGAAATAGCCAACTAGCAAAACACTTTTCGATGTGAATTTTCACTATATCATCTTTTTTTTTTGAGAAAGAGAGAGAAAGAACGGTAAAGTATTGTGTTTTCTTCATTATCTTTTTTCACTATATCATTATATTTTTCAAATTATCAGGAAGAGAGTTTGCTTCTGCCATTTTTGGACTACAAAATTGTGGGATAAAGACCTAAACCTCCCCTGAGGTTTCTCATAAATAGTAACATCCCCCCTCTTCTAAAAGGACTTGAACCTCCCCTGTCAGTAGACAACGCCATTAAATTTGACAGAATCAATGGAAAGACTTTCTTACCCTTCATTTTTCTTCAAATTTTCTAAAGGAACCACTGAAGCAAGAATATGTTTTGGTTAAAACCATGTCAATAAACGTGTACAGGCTAAAACCTTCTAAGAGTAAGCATCTCTGCTAGCTGCCTTACAAAGTCTGTTGAGGTTTCTCCTCAAGGGTTCGAATTATGTTTTAATGGAGTCCAAGTGTAGACAGTTACAGAAATGAAACCCCATTGTTCACTCAGCTTAACAGAATATCCACATTTCATAATTGATCAAGTTCAAATCCTGATTGCTGTTGCCTGTTGGTAAATATTTGGATTAATTTCTTGAATTTAGGATCAGAAACATTACAAAAATAAAAACTCTGTGACGGTACCTATTTTACTATGCAATTAAATACAGAGACCTTTGTTTCGCTTTTAGTTTTAATTTTTCTTTCACTCCTTACAATTCTTACAAATCAAGGAAAGAGATAGATAGAAATGTGGTCCATTTCTATGACATTTCAGGAAAAAAAAAAAAGAAAAACGATGAACGCATTTAGAATCCCTCTCCAGGGCTAATGTTTGGCATACTCCAAAGGGAGCCCACACAGCTATGCAAACAACTCTATAAAAGATGGTGTGCTAAGATTCAGGATTTATGCTTGTCCTACATGCAACTATTCATTTTTTACATAGTAAGCAGCTTGTTGTCATCGGCTGATCGAAGACAACAAGTACAACAAGATGGTTATTCTTCCCATGGTAAAGCCCCTTGAATACCCATCTCTTATTCACTTTTCACAAGGTTCTCACCATTTTCTTTATGGCTCATTTGGTGGAATACTATACTAGAGGCAAGAGAGTGACAAATTCATCCAAGTGGGCAAAACTGACTTTTTGAAAGATTTTAACCTTATGTAATGTCACATATAAACGGATCTTGGCGGATTGGATTGTAAGGGAAGGTTTCTGTTTGATGACRTCATCCGAGAAGGGAGGTCTTAGTCCAATTTGAAATGAGAGGGGATGTTTTAGTATTTAGGAGAAACCTTATGGGAGGTAAATGCCTTGACTTTTAGCATTAGGTGCCGTTCTATGCAACTAGGCACCGGCCTAGGCAACAAAAATGACAAGGCAGGCGCCTTTTATAATATCATTTATATTGTTGCATCTTATTAATGTGTGTTAAAACATTACATATATATAAAGAGGTGCCACGCCCAAGTCCTAGGCACAGCACTTTCAAAAGGTGCACGCTTGGTGCACCTAGGCGTGCGCCTTGCGCCTTAGACCAGGCATGCGCCTTTTGAAAATTTTACGCTTTTTTGCTTTTTTTGAACCTAGCAGCTAGGTCAGGGGCTCCGCCCCTAAACCCCCGACCACGCCCCTCGAGGCAAGCCCAAACAAGTCCATGTTAGGGTCTTAAATTCTTAATTTTCAAACAAAAAAGATAATGATTTTATAATTTTGATTGCTTTTTAATTTTAAAATTATAAAATCATTATTTTTTGTGTGAAAATTAAGAATTTAAGACCCTAACATGGACTTGTTTGGGCTTGCCTCGAGGGGCATGGCACAAAGGTGACTCGTAGAATCAGGAATGTAATATGTTTTACATCACTTTAGCTACTTGAAGTAATGCAAGTGAGGAAAAAAGAGATTGTGGGTTTTACATGCTTGAAAATTTTTTATATGTTTAATTTTATTTTTAAATTTTCATTTGAATGCGCTTTACATGTTATGTTTATGTTTTTTTATTTTAGATAATGGGTTTTTTAAAACATTTGTTTTTTAAGTTTATATTTTTTATTAATATTATATTTAATATTTTTGAATTTTGAAATTTTTGGCATTTTTTGAATTTTCTGACTTTTTTATTTTTTAGCATTTTTTTGTATTTTTGTGCCTTGCTTCAAAAAGGCGCACACCTCGCCTTGTGCCCTGTGCCTCAAGCGTAAATTGGCCCCTGTGCCTTGCACTTTTAAAACACTAAAGAGGTTCTTTTTTTTTGCTATTCTCTCTCTCTCTCTAATTAAATAAAACAGAAACTCCATCCTTGTTTTGTCCATTTTACTTTCCATCTTGAATATTTATCATATAAAGTTAATAACCTTCTTTAGCTGCTAATTGATATGAAATTGCTCTTTTAAGTACTTATTATAGTAGTATTATTTTTAAAAATAATGAAATTAATATATGTAAAAGATCTTTATCTTTTAGGTTTGATGATTTGTCACATTTTTAGAGGAAATTTAATGTTCTTACTAAAGAGAATTGCTATTTTTTCAATTAATATAGATGTTGAATGGTATATAAAACTAGGGAACTATCCAAAAGTTAGTTTTTTTATATTATAAAATGTTTATCGCCTAGGTGACTAGGCGCCCCAATGTCACCCTGAATCGCCTAAATGCCTTCAGATGGGTTTAAGTCTTTTACCCTAAATTTTTTTTCTTTCAGCATCCAACATGTCCATACATTCATGTCAATTGGTGGAAAAAAATCTTAAGGCTGCAAATAGATCAGAACAAATTCAAATAGGGGTATATCCAATTCCAATCTGATAAGAATCAGATAGATCCATATCTACCATATACGTACCTAAAACAATAGAATTTACCACTTGAGCTGGACTGCTGGAGTTTGCACTAGTGCACCAAGATAATATCCAGAAATCTACCCTCCTTGGCAACTGCCTTCTTTTTGGTGCCATCAACTAGACTAGGACCATAGCCCCATGGTTGAGGACCTTGAGGTCCAGCATGTCAACCAATTGGGTTATGGGCTGAAGAACATAAAAAGATTTTCAGTTCTAGAACAAAAGATGAGTTAGAAGACAGTTCATTAATTACTACCACAGAGATATCTCCAACACGAGTTAAAGGTGAGAGTTGTGACACCAGAAAAAGGAGTCAACACTTGAATTCAGACTATTCTAGTTGATTGGAAGAATAACTAACCGTCAATCACCTTAACACAGGCATTCAAATTTTCCTGTCAGAGGTTACTGCAGAGAACTTCCTTGACACCCCCCCCCAATAAAAAAACGGAAGTTTTAAAAACAAAAATACCTTCAAGTTGAAATATTTTAGTAAGAAGCTGAATCATTAAACATAGAGGGAAAAACAGTAAAGTAATAAGTTTAGGTTCTGGAACTGAAACAACTAATAAAACTTTTTCACACTAATGCACACAACTTGCTTGATACTTGACCACCGCTGAAATGTGAACTAGTCATATTTGATAAGAGGACTTCATGACCAATAGTTTACTGTCCTGGTGCGTGACAGGAAAAATTAATTAATCCACGACAACAGTATACGTTTAAGAGAAGAAACCTTGGAAGATCATATTAGAATTCTTCATTTTCTGTGACGCTAAACGATGTAAAGGTGTCACTCTCTACAAATGGACTCATACGTATTCACATTAACAGTCTTCCTAGGTTCCTCAACTACCACCTACATTCCCTTCTCTTTAGTTTTGCATTTTTTTTCTTTCCTCGTTTTTTTCGTCGTTTCCTCTGTACATTGTTGAACCTTCCTTGTACTGAAAAAAAATCACATTTTGCAGAAAGTAAAATAATTCCTGAGTAGGAAACATTGTTGCAAGCAGAAATTTTGAACAAAATTACAAGAGAAAATACACTAATTTTGTCTCAAAACAACTCGCCCAACATCCCACAAACGAGATGTATCAAGCAACTCAAATTCATTATTCGTCTTCAAAACGAAAACGAAAATAAAACGTATAACATCAGACATCCTATAGCATCGCGGTTCCAAAACTTTCCATCGCGAAGCCCTAAAACAGTTGAAACTTGTAAAAATTGCAGGATTTAGAAAGAAGGAGAAAGAGAAAATGACTTACTGGAATGAAATGCGAATTCAAAGCAAAGATGTCACTTGTGAAGCCTCGATTACACCAAATAATCGGTTTCTTTTCTGTAAATTTTTTCCACTGACAGAGAAATAGGTGGAGCAAAACTGAAAAGAGGAGGAAAGGAAAACAAATGACCAATACGACGTGTCTATATATACCAACGCGTCCAAACCAAACTCTACTGAATTTTGTATTTATTTTGGTAAAGAATTTTCTCGAATTTTCTCGAATTAAATACCAGGTTTCTTTTGGGGGTGCTATACTGTTATTAAAGTTTAGGGTAAATTAAAAAGASCCCCCGGTAATATGGGGTCTGTGACAAAGATCCCCTATACTTTATTTTGCAACAAAAACACCCCTGTACTATGACCATGAGACAAAGACCCCTTTCCTTGAAATCTGCCATTGCAATATTTTTAATCTTCATACTACCCTTATAATAACTATTGGGACAATTGGGAGAAAAACATTATTCATTTCATTTTTCCCAACTTCATGAGCAGCAGCCGTAATCCCTTCTACCTCAGATTCTTCCACATTTTTCTCTCTTTTCCTCGATTTCTCTTCTTCCCCTTCTCCTTTCTCTTCTCCCCTTTCTTCTTCCCGCTTTCCCCTATTCTGCCTGTTCTGTCCAAACTCTCCAGTCTTCAAATTCTCCTTAGTCTTCTCTCTCCACCGCATAGGTGTAATCGTATTTGGATTACCGTCAAAAGTCTGGCTATCGATGCCTCTGAAAAAGGTAATTCTGTTCCGAGCAAGCAAAAAGAGGAAGAGGTAGAAGGTTGGACGGTGATGCTTGTGTTGGATGGTAGCTTCTCTGCGTAGGCAAAAATTTCATTCCAGATAGCATGAGGAGCTTTCATCACTCTCCACCAGTTTTCATCAAGATAATAAATGAACAACGGAGATAATAAGGCCCACACCATCATCATTAAAGTGAATCTTGACCTTTATAATAAGCTTGATAAAGGAATAGCAATGCTGTAGCCCGTAGGTTTGATCAACTCTTTGTCAAGTTAAATCATAGCAACCAATGGGGCCGGTTCTGAGAAAGCAAGGACGGAAGACCTGGCACCACAACCACCAATAGCAGAAAGCCAGAAACATGATTTGGTCTTTGTTCTGTTTGGACTCTCTGGTGTTTTTATCACTAGACTCTGATGTTCTTCATTATGGGTCTAGTGTTCTTCAGTACAGACAAAATACTATCTTTGAGAGGTTAATCGTTATGGTGGTCAACCTAATAGAGGCCTTACCATTAAACTCCAATTTAAAACTTGGAAGAAGAAGAAGAAGGAAACTGGAATTGAACTTGTGATTAGTGTGGAAGCTGAGAGGTGGGAAGGTTTTATTTTAGTCCTTACTCCTAAGAACTCGGTCAAGCACAAAACCAAGCTTCCTAATCCAAACAAAATAATTTACAGTAGTAAGACCTAATGAGTTATGAGCCCGGGAGTTCTAGATACAGAAAAACGGATTACTTTATCAAGTTCTGACTTTTCTCATGGTGGGATTGCAGAACCAGCAGCTTAGCTCAGGCGGTGAAGAGAGAAGACCAAAGAGATTTTGAAGACTAGACAGTTTGGACAGAACAGACAAAATAGAGGAAAGCAGGAAGAAGAAAGGGGAGGAGAGAAAGGGAAAGGGGAAGAAGAGAGATTGGGGGTAATGTGGGAGATGTAGACCAATATTGACCTAGTTCCCTTGTCTCTTTGATGATGGCCATTAATGTTGGAGATGTAGAGGGTCCTCCTCCTTTGTGGTTGAATCACAAACTTTTATACTAATTAGAAAATAATTAAGCACATGAAAAGCATTCCACTATTGGCCTAGTTCCCCTATTTCTCCATTGATGGGTGGTGATGTTAGAGAAGAAGAGAGTCCTCCTAACATATCCATTACTCGAATACTCTATCACAAAATTAAAGTTGGTGGTGTGATCGAAAAATCTAGTAGCATCATCAAAGTTGTTGTTGCCAAAATTTGCAGCAATGATGAAATAGGGAATTTGTTGTAGACCTTGGCTGATGAGATCTCACTTGGATCCATGTCACTTTGGGTTGGTACCTCGGCTATTAGAGCTTATGTAATCATGTTTAGGTGAACTTGGTCAAGTCAGATCAATGTGAAGTCAATTGGTCACCTTTCCCCCCAACCTTGTTGCCAGGATGCGATTTTTTGATGGTGGTTGGTTTTGGCTATATCAAAAGCAATTCGACAATGGTTACAAATGGTATTTTGTTGTGGTTTTATTTGTTCTCAAACATCAAATGTAAAAATTAAAATTATAAAATCAAATAACAAGTGTCAACACTTGATTTTTGCTCGGTCCCTTCTTTAACTCATCTCCTACATTCTAGATGCTCGATCGGATCATATCAGTCTCTTTAAAAACATGCCAAAACCCTAAAAACCCAAATTTTAGCCTAAATGTCCATAAATTCACCGTTGAATCTACATGGTTCTCTTTCAATGATCTTGATTGTGCCACATCACCACACTTGATCCYCGATCAAAGTTCATCACATGAAACAAAATCCTTAAACAACAAATCACACAAAATTTCAACCTATCATTCATCAGAGATTTCATTTCAACGCATTTACGACGCTTCTTGAGTCTAAAACCTGTGATCTGTACATACCTGACACGATCAAACCCTCCCAAATAGCCTCATAATCCCAATCCATACATATCCACCAAATTTCATCTCAAAATTCCCTCATTTAATCCATCATCAAACTTTGATTCTGTTTTGTAGAATTTTATTGATCAAAGGCTTACCTCTCATGAATCTCCATCATCCAAGCCTTATTCRACCAATTGGATCCCACCAACATGTTTAGAGACCCAAAAAAACCCTAGAACGTCAAATTTTACATCTTAATTCACATGTTTGACCTTTAAACTAGGAAAACATCATTTCAACGCACCAGATTGAATTGCCACATCAGCTGTCCCAATCTAGGATCTCAAGAGGGTGGGGACTAATGTCAGCTCCTTACTTGAGCCCATTAAAACACTTGGACCAATGAATTTGAGCTTAATAGGCATAAAAAGCTCAAAATACCAAACTGACCCCCATTTGAAACTAAGAAAGGACAACCACATTCAAAAGTTCATCAAATTTATGTTTTTTGCCACTGTTAGCCCCAAATATGGGGCTGCAACGTCTAGCACGCTCCAAACCCTCATTGGATGCACAAAATCCATAAAAAGCCTTCCAAACTCGAGAAAACATGTTGCACAAAGAATGAAGGGTCAACTGAAGGCCTTTTCCTCTAAAAAACCTTGCCTATTTCTATGAAAGCTGCTTAACCCCAAGCATTGTATTTGGATGAGTTTCAGATCCATTTCCCTCCCTTCACCTCTATAAATTGAGGCCCATCTCAAGTTTGAGGAGGGGAGAAGAGAAGAGCATTGTCATAGGCTCCTAGCCTTTGTAATGCATCCATTTTACCTAAAATCCCAAGGTCCTTGAAGTTCAAGCCCCAAAACTGCTTCCCCTATTTTCCAAACTGAAGATTTAAAGCTAAAAACACTCATCCCAACTCGATAGCTCGCCCAAGCTTCATTTGAAGTTTTTCTAGCTACTGGAAAACCTTCCTCAAGGTTGCACACGAGAGGTAAGTCTCTCATTCCGTCGTCTTTTTTTCTAAATTTAAATTCGTAAATATCTGTTTTCAGTGCTCTAGGTTGCTTGAGGTCCCATAACCATAGGAAACTTGCATTCCCGATTTTATCCAAATTGAGAAAAAGAGGTAGAAAGGCGAGGGTCTTAGGGAAATCAATACCTAAGACCCGATAACATCACCTCAAATCAATTATGGGTAAAGTTGGAAGCATTTTCACCTTACTTCTAGTGCTCTGAGCAACCATTTTCATTGGCATTTTGTTAGAATTTGAGCTTGAACTGATCCCGTTTTGGTTTGCTACAGTAGCTTGGAGAGAGGGGTGCCTAACACCTTCTCTCTCACAATCCTTCCGGATTTAGAATCTCTTAGTTGTGTGTTTTTTCCAAGGAGAATGAAGTCACTATCAAACCCAATAAATCAAATTTCCAAAGATGAATTGAGAGTCCATTTCTTCTAAAAATGGGTGGCGACTCCATTTCATTGAACTAGCCATGAGCTTCCTGGAGCTCACAACAAGCTCATGATATTATGTTACATAAACCGAAGTTGACAAATGACTAATAGAATGGTACCATCTATGTAATGACATCACCCAACAAGGGATATCATAGTCATTTGATAAAACAAAGGGAGATTTAAGTATTTGCCAAATACCTTAGGGAGGGTTTAAGTATTTTTTACTTTTTATTATTGGAAAGTTGTCAAACAATCGAATTTAGTTTGTTAAAAGTTGGCTACAAACAATCACTCTATATACACTATGAAAGCATGGAGTCTTGACGTACATTGAGAACATCTCCCTATGAATTTAACATAAATATATGGGAGATATTCCTAATATGCGGCTAGATGCTATGTGAGCAAAATTTTTGCTTGCAAGATATTTGGGCTCCAGCTTAAAAAAACACTAAAATTTTTTTGGGTCCTTTTGGTAAAAAAAAATTTATGGTATTTATTTGAATGGTAATCAATCAATTTTATGGTATTTATTTCATGGTAATCTAGGAAGAATTGTATAAATGTTGTTCTCTTCTTTTGTTATTTTGTTATGGAGTTAATGACACTTGACCTTGTGATTAAATTGAGTAACTTAACATGTAGATTATCATAATATTTTAATATATGCTTCAAATTTTGTCATTATAATTTGAATTTTATAAACATTACCTTTTAAATTATTTATTATACACATTCAAATATTAAAATGAAAACAAATGATCAAATCACTTATGTAACTTAATGGTAAAATGAGACAATGACTTTTGTAACTATGAGTGCTTGGGTTCAAATCTCCACATCCTTAAAAATATTTTGGGGTTTATTTCAAGGTAAGTTTGGTTGGCCAACCGACGCTGGTTCATTGGGTCAATTACAGTAGGATAAACCGATAAACTCCTAGACCCTTGAACCGACCTAGGTGGGAGTCGGGCCGGTTCCAAAAATTTGGAATCAGACCCTACCCTATAATAGATTGGATAGGGTTGGTTCAAGGCCAGTTCGAAGTCGATTTCATTCTATTCCAAATAAAACCTATGCATATGCTCACCGCTAAAAGCAATAAGGTAAACATCAAGTAGATTATATACTATTTTAGTATTTTTAGCTAATTGCTGCGTTGGATTTCCAATTGCGTAACAACTCCATCCTCAGCTCATTGGTCTGAAGAAAATATTTGCATTGTAAAAATAGTGGTTCATTCAAGGGCCTATGTCCTAACATCACCGATCATTCCTTTCTAAGTCATAGCTTTTAGCTCATTTAAAGATTTTTCTAGGTCTTATAGTGTAATTTCATTTGTATTTGTGCAATAGTATGCAAATGCAAATGAGCTTAAGTGCATATTCTAGTTTATCTTTGTTTTCAGATTTTTTTTTTCGGTGCACGTGAAGTAAAATAAAACCTTTTTGAGGTGAACCAGAATTTGCACCCTTCTCGTTTGCATTTCCTTGCATTTGTATTAATGGAAATGAACTTGTAATGCAAACAAATGGAGCATAGGAGTTCCATCATTGCACCGTCAAGTATGATCCTCTTCCCCTTTGAAGGGTAGACATCGTCAAGATTTGTGAATTTTCCTTCAAACCAAACAGCCTAATATCATGACAACCTTTTATCTTTCTCTTGGTAAGGGGTGTTTTAATTTTGGCGATTTTACTAACCACCTATGGTGGTGATAACTGGCTTGTTGATGAAGTATCCTTCTGATTTTAACAAAAACTCTATTATCCTTGTCAGGGTGGGGTGGAGGTGGCAATTTGGGGATAGGCTATACCCCATTGCGCAACCCAAGATCATTTACCTAGAAGAAAAAATAATTGCCTTGAATCAAGTCTGCAGGTTGGGCAGGCCTAATCTGAGCCCGACCAAAGCTTTATTCGAAGGTTGGGCTGCAATTCTCAGGTTTGGGCCTGTGCCTTAACCTGAACTCTTGGGTTTATCAAAAGTTGGGCTTGAATGGAGGCCTTAGAAATAGTCCAAGCCCACCCAGCCTTTTACATCATATCCCTCTATGTAAACGTCCACCAATGTGAGTTTTTCTTACACCGTCGGTCCCAAATTTAGAAAAAAAAGGGTTGCATTCTGTTTGATTGATAGTTAGTACTAGAACTTTTGCCAGATTCTTCATGAACATGAATTCTAATTTGTATTTTAATGTTTATCCTTAAGTGTTAAGAAATGATTTAAGTATCAATAGTTTAATAGTGGATATGGCTTTTAATAAAATGGATTGGCGAAACATGATTTAATAAACACCCCCATATAGTTAGGATAAGGCATGGATGATGATGATGGTATATGATTAATTATTCCATCCCATGCAGACATGTAAATACATGTTATTTATGTAAACGTTTTTTTTTCTACCTATGTAAACGCATTTATCAATATGTAATGTTATATTGTTATTTGTATTTATATATATTTTTCTTTTTTTATTTTTTTAATAATGGATATGACTTTAAATAAAACATATTAACAAAACAGGATTCATGTAACTGACCTCATAATAATAATAATAATAATAATAATAATAGATTGGGCTTCGATTATTTATTTATTATCTAAAAAAGCTTGAATTGGTAAGTTGCAATTGTGACATTGAGTTGGTAGAGTTTGTGGGTTGGGTCTGGTTCGGACAAGGTGTACCAATCCCAAGTCGACTATTAATTGGTTCCAAGATTTGACATAATTATAACTGGCATCTATTATCAATGATAGAAACAATTTAGAATTTCATTTTAGATAATTAAACCTTAATAAAACTAATAATAAATATGCTTTATATGTTCATAGAGTCATAAAACAGGTTTTTTTTTTCTATTAAAACAAAATTATCTTATATACCCTTTAAGAAAATCTCAGAAGAATTCTTATATATTATTAACTATATAATCAATTCAGATTTCGGGGAATAACATGTTGGTCCCGACCCAATTATTAATCAGGACAAAGCTACGGGACCAGAACCCACGCAATCAATTCGATCGGTTCGGTTTTGTCAAGTGGACCCGAACCTCGGGTCTTGATCCGAAATAGTTGTTTCTAGCAATTCAACCAATATTCAAGAAATTGACGTGGGTTTTAATTGATAAAATAATGGACAAAAAAATCCCTTGATTAAAAAAAGAAACAGAAGAATCATGTAAATCAAGTACCATTCGACCGGTATTTGATTTGCTCAAAAACAAAAAAAAAATCATTCCACTGATCTTGATTTTTGGCAATCAAACAGAACACAGTGAATAATAAAAAAAAATTGATTGTAACGTAAGAAAATCGTAAATCGTGATAGCCAAACTGTCCGATCGATGGGCCACCTCTGATATTCCCACGTTAACGGAAGAGGTGGACTATTACCAAAAAAAGAAAACGGAAGAGGTGGACCATGGATTGGACAGCGTGGATCAATAAGCAGAGGTGCCCTTTTCTCTCGGTGTCATTGCGGTACGATGATCCCGAAGCTATATCTACGGAATCGGCTGCATACATAACGCGCCCCACAAGCGTCCAACTCATTGCTTCCGTGCATTGGGAATATCTCCTCATCACAAGCACGGGAGATGATCCCAATGCACGGAGGGGATGGACTGTGGGGCGCGCTCTGTAAGCAGCCCATCTTACCATATCCTTGTCACAGAAACTAAGAACCCTGACCCAACTTTTGACCAGCCAGATCACACCTGACTGGAGCCAATCCCACCCTTGATTTTTGCAGATCAAATTCCAGCCACACGTTTTGTTGGTGGTGATGCCCGATAACATACGCCTCTCTCCCCAAGCGATCCGAGTTCGCAAAAGTGAAACAGTAGATGGCATCACTACCTCTTACCTCCCCCGGAACCCGATACAACAAGGGATCTCCCGATACGGTCATCTCGGCTCCCCGAAACATCAAGCTCACCGTCGGTAATGGTGGCAGACTCCACTGATTCAACGGAACCCGGTAACATAAATCCATCGCATCTTGGAAAACGAAGTCTGGATCCTCCAAAACCCTCAAAACTCCTCTTGTCTGCTGCAAGAACTCGTTCTTCAATGCCGTGTAAGCGGGTTCAAGTAGGAATGTGAACTGAGTGCCGGAGTCAAGCATGGTCTGACCGGCGCCTGTGTGGTCCGGCACGAACACCGACTTGGCTAGCGGAAGTACCTTTGTAGAAACCCTAATCCCCTCGAGTTGAATTGTGTAGGCGACTCGGTCGAAATAAGGTAACGGGGTTGATATTTGGATGAGCGGAGTGTAGTTTAACGGGCCGAGCCAGGGGATACTCGCTTCTCCCAGCAGTAGTATGCCAAAGGAATCGCGATTCGAGATGCAGTAAGAGAATTTTAGGAAACCCATCTGAGAAACAAAGGAAAGAGAGCCTCGATTCATACCCATTAACCCTGTAGTCTTGGAGTCCTCTTCCGAGATGCTACTGTAGCTGGAGTCCATGCAGCCGAAGATGGTAGCAGGTGTGGCCGAGCTCCCGATGTGGAATGTATCATATGCGAGGTTCCCTTCGCAGGACGACATGTCTGCGTAAGAGAGCGTGGCATGGCATAGCTTCTTTGGGTCGCACGAGACAGGTATAGTAAAGTCTCTGGTTCGAGTCGTGCAGATGGGAGAAGTACAGGGGATTGGAGAATAGGAAGAGGAGCCAAGTGGATCAAATGTTGTATACAGGCTTGGGGATTTTTTACAGTGAAGCCAGGAAAGCTCGCTTCCGGTGTCGATTACCATTGTAACGTCTTGTGGAGGAGTCCCGACTGTGAGAGAGACTGTTAAGCTGACGTTATGGTGGAAGTAGACCTTGTTCGGGGGTTTTGGGACGGCCCAAGCTGGGATTACCTGGGTTTTTAGAGGTAAAATGACTGCATTATTATTAGAAGAAAAGCAGAAATGGAACTGAATACAAAGAAGGAAGATTAGAAAAGGCGCCATGGAACAGGAACTTTTTTTAGTACAATATGTAGGAATGGATTGAAGAATTTGGTGAACTTTGAGGAACGTAGGTGTGAGTTTCAGAACAAGAAGTGAAGACATTAGAAAATACCCAGCTGTGCCCTGCAACTTGGAGTGGTGAGTTTCAGTGATGTGTATATGCTGGAATTTATATTTTTCCAATTTTCCTCTCTGGTAGTGGTGGTGTAGTGGGGAAAAAAGAAGGCAGACACCGAGTCGTCTGTACTGTCTCTCACTGTCTATATATTTATATGGTATTTTTTTTTGTTAGGATATTTATAAATTTTTTTTGGTAACTAGTTTTTGTTAGAATATTTACATAGTAATTGGAGATTGATATTTTATACAAAAAAWTACTATTTTGTGTTGTTAAATAAAAAATAACCAAATTTCCCTTTTTCTTTGCTATAAACCAGATAGCCCAACTCTGGGGGCGTTTGGCAAATCTCTTTGTATGGTCTTTTGGTCTTTGCAAAGTTTGAAAGCTCAAAGACGAGAAACTAGAAAAACGTACCCTAAAAATCTCATGTAAACCCAAAATGGCCAAAAGTCCCAAAGCTTAAAATAAAGCCTTTTGTCTTTATGCACATAAAATCATTCAATTAGCATATTTATAGATCATCACGGTATACAAGAATACATACCGAATGGTCTAGATCTTTAAAAATAATACCCTGAAAGCTCATTACATGATACATCTTTCCACATCTAGGCTAAAGACTTACCAAATTGCMCTTATATTAATTTGATTCTTAAAGGATAAATTATTTGAACCTCCCCTCTCATTTTAGACAACACTTTAATCTCTGAGAAACCTACCTAACATTATTTGATAAACTATACAAATTGACCCTTTATATGTAGATGGATGAATGTTGAATTGCAAAGTTATTCTTATATGTCCATTTAGACATAATAATGATGATGACGACATAGACACAACAATGATGACAATAATCATCTAAGCCATGTTTCAATTATATGGGGTCAACTACGTAAATTCTACTTTTTTATCATTTTGTACCATATTCACAGGTACTTATAAATCAATTTTCCTAACTATTAGGTGTGATATATTATATATGATCGTCTATGCATGTAACAACAAATAATAATAATAATAATAATAATAATAAAAATAACGAAAAAATATCATAAACTTGGTAAGGGACAAGAGAGAAAGGGGTATTGATTTATATTTTTGTACTTTTTCAATCAATGGGTCTTTCAATATTCTTATCCTTAGGTAAAACTAAGTTCTTTTTTTTTCTGTTTAAAAATATGACATCATAATTTTCCATTAACATCTTAATATAAAATATCAAATTAATGGAAGGAATCAGTTTGTATAATTTGTTTAAATTGTGGAATGAGGTTTTTGGAATGGCCAAGGTTAAAAGAGGTTCAAGCAATGACTAGAAACTACAGGCTACAGAAGAGGTTTAAATAATTTACCCAAACAGAACTTCTTTCCCTTTTCAAGAAATCTGGTCGGTTGCTATAATTATGATAATGACTGACATGCCCTATTCGAAAGGTGGGATTCACAGCAACCATGAGGATAAAATGGGAAAGTACTATCTATTATTAAAATACGGCAGTCCTCCACTCCACTAGAGCACTACTTTGTACAAATTGACAGAAGCTTACTGCCCATAATTGGCCCTGGCCATTCATCGGAGATTTGATATATTTTTATTTTTTATATATAAAAACAACACCTTCAAAATTTAATTGAATGTAGCAACGAATAAATTAATGAAACATTTTGGACAAACACGGAGAAGAGAATCGACGGTGTCTTTGTCTACGTTCCAATTTTAGAGAAATCTGTCAATCAGAATTCAGAAGCAAGACGATTTTGTATGACCGAAAAGGGATCGGGTGTGGGTCATTGTTTTGGTAGTCGGATGTCACCCTCACCCATTACTACTCTCCAGAAGACAAAATTTTGTTGTTTGTTGTTGTTGTCTCCCCATTGTAATGATATATGTTAGTTAGGAACCTTCTAAACAATCCATTTATTTATGTTAAAATTTGAAACAATCTAAGAAACAACAACCCGAAAAGCTTTCCTTTTGTTTCTTGAGAAGAAATAGGGTTCCATTCATCATCATAAATGCTTGGTGGTAGCCACTTCAACCACCACATGACTACGTGTGAAATTGAGGGAGTGTCAGTGTCCACGTCACCGAATCGTGGGTTTTTGTCCAACATTATTAATGTTAACTTGTTGGTGTTTAGGAGGAATAATGGCGGTCATAATCTTATCTTCTATATATGTAAAGGTTGGAGGAGCTAGGAAACCTTGGGCTCTCTAATGGTGATAGACTAATAGTTATGTTAGAGCTCTGTCAGTCTGATCGAGTCTCAGTAGCAGTGGGGACATGAGTCCTAATTACCTAAACCTTTGTCCGAGACCGACCCAGACAACCCCTCAAGTCCACTGATCACGAAGAATTGTTGAAAAAGATTCAGCCCATGCCCATCAATCAAGTTATAGGAGTGGAGTCCAGGATGCAAGCACTCAAGGATGATTGAATGGTTGCCACCTAGCTAGACAGTCTTGAAAGTTGAAAGAGAAAAATCAGCAATACATAGTCAAACGAAACCCGACCACTCAATCTAGCCACGTTGGCCAATGAGAAGCAAGCAATAGGGTCCATGTCTCAAGTGTTTGTTCCGTCGCTTTGGAACGTAATTATATAAACATTAAGCTAGCTGGATGATGTAGACTTTGAAGCTAGTTGTTTTCCACGTAAATTTTGTTTAATATTATTGTTATGTAGGTTAATTAATTGATGACGTGAGATTAAGAGAAGAAAAGATGCAATGAAAAAAACAAATGAATTGGTTGAAATTAAGCAATCTCCCTTTGGATTTCGACTTAAATTTCGAGGCATCAAGTTGGAGAAAACGATTCCTCGGAATCCATCATATGTATGTCAAAGCGCATAGGTGAGGACTGATCAGGAGGGCACCATGCATTAACGAGTCCTAGCTTCAATTCGCTCATCACACTTTAATTATTACCATGTAAGACGATGGGGGATTCCTAATTTCTGGCTTAAATCCTCACACTCATCAAACGGGATGGTAATTAGAAGATATTTATATGTGCAAATTATTAGATGGTTTGTTATTACACATTACATGGTCATGTATCAAGGATGAAATTCCGTTGGTGTCTTGTCGTTACACAATAACGACTATGTGAAGAAGCAACATATATAGATACAATGCAATGCATCGAATTTCAAAGAGTGACCACTGGCAAGGGAGCTAGTTCGTTCGGTTCATCATTTTTGGCTTTAAATTCTTAGTTACGTTGCTCGTTTGTTCTCCGAGCTCTACGATTGGATGCTCAAAAGGGCCCCGCATTTATTATTGTTCACGAGTCACGACGGTTGATGTGGTTGCCGGAGACAAATAAAATCTTCCCTTTCATTCCACATAAGATGGCCAGATGGGATGAAACAACACATGTAATAAATAAAATCTTCTCGATCGGATTGATTCGGAGGATGATGATAAAGCACAGAGGACAGGTCTTGGTCTTGTAGTGCCAGTGGAGTCGCATCTTAAAACAAACTTTTTTAAGTTTAACAAAAAATTAAATAAATAAAACAAACTAAAATCTTCCACGTGTCAACTTGTGTTAATTTAAAGCTTCAAGCGCTTTTGTGTTGAGTCCGAATAACATAGTAAGCAAACAATTAGCATTAAAGAAATAATTAAATATTCTGACAAATGTATCAAAATTTGTTTTTAATATAACTTAACCCATAAAACAACTGTATCCAAAATTGTGTTACGTTGGAGTCCGGACTGTGTTTGCGTTCCCCTGCCTCTCCACGGCTCAACCTCCTCTATATTGATGATGATGTAACTTAACCCATAAAATTAAACCTCAATGGTCCAAAACTCTAAACTCCCCCACAATATTTAAAATGGGTATAGGAGGACGGTTGTTATGTGCTATTATAGTGGAGAAAAGGGCCAATCCATCTCATTATTAATTATAATAATGATAGTTATCATTGCTATCATAATCGTTACGCCCATCTATATCCAAATTCACATCTGCACCACGCCCCACCGTATATCCCAATCATATATTGCGAACATCTCCCACTGATAATTTCAGGAGATGTTCCCAATGCACATTTGAGATGGCACGTGGGGCACAAATGTGGTCCATCATCTAACCCTTATCCTAATTGTACGGAATTAGAATTCTGTTTTGTTCTTATACCTTTTGCCCCTCTCCCTCGAAAAGAATAGAAATGTATTATACATAACGAGTTATCAGAACAAATAAAAAGAAGAGAAGGGGGAAGAGATGAGKTGTTAAAATTTAAAGAAATAGGATAGAGCATGTACCAAGTTTATAATCTTTGACCGCAAATACCTTACCAAAATGGTCCCAGACAATACTGGCCACTAGACAATATTTCCCATCGCTATTGTGAGAGGCATTAAAATTTATTTTAATATAGCCATATTTTGGAGCATTCCAACTAATTTGTTTCCAAATCTTGCGAGATGTGATAGAGGTACTAAATTTACTCCCATAAAAAATTTCCATAAACATATTGAGAATTGTATCTAAAATTATTAGAATGGGAGTAGTAACCTCATTAAAGGTTTTGGAGTTCCTATTTTTCCAAACAACTCAGAGAACAAAAGCTAGTTTTTCCTTTATGAATAGAATTTTGTTTTCTTTTCTAATGCACATTCTTGTCCACCAATCACTTAGATTTTCATTTTCATTTAGGCCCTCCAAGGGTGTGTTTAACATAAGCCAAACTTACTTTGTGTGATCACAACTTTTAAAAATATGTTTAGTATTGATGAGGGCGGATTTGACCCTCTAGTGAAATTGTGACACCTGGCACTTCATGCAAATCAAGTACAGCCTCTTGACAACTGGGCAGCTCGGGCAGCTCAGCAGAGCTTGCCACTTACAGACAGCTCGGCAGAGCTCGCCACAAGCAGCTTGGCATAGCTTGGGGAGCTCGGTATAGTGAGGGGCAGCTCGGCATAGGCAACTCGCCACTCCGCAGGCAGCCTGACGTCTTATAAAGAGCTCGTCACTTAGGGACAGCTCAGCACTTACAGGTAGTTAGGCATAGGTAGCTCACCACAGGCAGCCTGGCGTCTTACGAAGAGGTCGCCACTTAGGGGCAGCTTGGCACTTACAAGTAGCTCGGCACTTAGGGGTAGCTCGGCGTATCGCAGAAAGATCTCCTGCCTGACAACCGTACCTGACAGATCCAGAGACCTGCACCCAYGTCTCTCGCTAGGCGGCACCGTGCCTGCTAGTCCTGAGAGTTGTCCCTTGATTGGCAGGGYGGTACTCTATAGCAGCCGCCTGCACCCGCCACCTCAGCTTTGGTAGTAACGGTTGCAGAAAAGAGACAGAAGCGGTTACGCCTTACTTGACAGAGGTTGTTACGCCTGATTTGACAGGACACCACTATATAAGGACTCCGACCCCCAAAGACAAAGGGGAGAGAATGAAAAAATGAATGTAATCCCTGCTCTCTAGTTCTTTCATTTCTCCCCAAGCTCCCTAAAATCAGAATGCTAACTTAGGCATCGGAGAGTCCCCGTCGGGAAAATAACCCTGGGTTCTCTGATTCAGTTCTCGCAGGTTCCTCAGCTCCTGCCGCCTACAAAGAAGAGGAAAAGATGGAGTTCTCACAGGTCCCTCAGCTCCCGCCGCCTATAAAGGAGAGGAGATCACTTCATGCAGAGGGCAATCGGGTTGTGCTACACCAGGGAGCTCCACCATCCCCTGAGTTATAAGCCGCCTTGGGAGCAGGTTAAATGACAAGTCCACCCTGGTAGCTCGTCACCAAGTAGCTCACCACTAGGGAGCTCGTCACACTCACCAGGTAGCTCACCACTAGGGAGCTTGTCACACTCACCAGGTAGCTCATCACCAGAGAGCTCGTCACCAGGGAGCTCGTCACCAGGGAGCTCGTCACCAGGGAGCTCACCACCAGGGAGCTCGTCACCAGGTAGCTCACCACCAGGGAGCTCGTCACTAGGTAGCTCATCACCAGGGAGCTCGTCACCAAGTAGCTCACCACCAGGCAGTTCGCCACCAGGGAGCTCCATCATCCTCTTGAGTCACAAGCCACCTGAAAGCAGGTCAAATGATGAGGTACTTAGCCAAAAAAATTAATACATCACAAAAATTGGTACGTGACTAGAAACGGTTACATCAAGTATCTTTCTCATCAAGTATCTTTCTCAAACCCACAGAAATTACAAGAGCCATCAATATTGAATCCTCTTTTTCTCAAATGGCTTGTACTAGGTAGTCTATTATCRAAAAGAAAAAAAATAGAAATAATTTAATCTTTAGAGGGCATTTCAAGTTCCAAATGTTATTAAACCAATTAAAGTTGTCAATTGGGTTTGAAATAGAGGAACATTTAAGCAAATAAGTTGTTTTTTATTGAGAAGGTCCCCTTAGGATTACACCTCTAAAATGTTCTTTCCTCCATGTAGTTAGGGCTATGTGAATAGTTTAAATGTCTTGCCAAACATTTTCAAAGATCTTAGCTTTAATTTTGTCCTCCTTCCAACAATCCCTCTCAAAATCTATCATTTCTGATACTTTAATATTATTATTTGTGATATTTTCATGGTTCAAAGTTTCAGTTAGAGGTTTGTCATATACCCAATTATCCAACCAGAAATTAATAGTACTTTCCATCACCCACTTGCCAACAAGCTCCCATTTTAATAAGATCTCTAGCAAGGAGGATGCCTCTCCAAGCCCAAGAGATTCCCTTTTTTTAATTTTGGTGTTCAAAAAGTTTTTCCTTTTCAAATATTTACTCTTAATAACTTTCACCCATAAATTATTTTCCTCATTCAATATCCTCCACCCTAACTTAGCCAAATTGGCCTTATTGACCCAACGAAGTCTTCTTATTCCCATACTGCCCCACCTTTTGGGAGTACAGGTTTTTTCCCAATTCATCAAGTGGAGAACTTTCTTACCATTAGTATTGTTCCAAAGAAAATCTCTTTGAATTTTATCCAACTCATTTATAGCGTTTTTAGGGATTTTAAATAAACTTATTATTTATTGAGGCATCATGTTTGTTGTTGAATTGATGAGGATTAATCTACCCGTAGTTGATAGAAAATGTTTTTTTCCAATTTGCCAATTTATTCATTATTTTCTCTTTGATATGAGTAAATGTGTTCTTTGTAACTCTTCCTGTGATAATGGGATCCCGTTGTATCATCTCATGCCAATTAATTCATCATTTTCACCTATCATGTTAGACTTCAAATGACCCCTCTATTTAATTCTAGGCGACTTCCTCTTCAATGTCTCCCCTGTTATAAATTATCAAACCAAGGTAATAGAAAAAGTCTCAATAATTAATTTATCTCTTAGTCTCTAATCCTAAATATACCCTGATTTATTCTATTATTATTATTATTATTAAGTTTACATGCCATACATTCTGTTTTAATCATACTTATTATTTTAGGCAATATTGTAATTTCTCTTGAATTGTCAAAAAAAAGACCTTAATCATTTATTGCAAAACTTTATGATAATGATTAAATTAATTATAATGTGGAGACTTAATCATGGATGAGAGATTGCAATATTGCCTAGTTCAATCCATGCTTTAGTCTGAACCATACCCACAGACAAATGGGTGGATATTGTGGCGTGGATTAAAGCCAAGTGATTTATAGTATTTCCATAACCCATAGTACCAAATGCCTCCTAGGTTAGCCAAGATGGTGGAATTTACTCCCAGTGCATTGGGTAATTATACCACGTCATCAGTGCAATTTGGCAAGTAGTTGTTTCAGGTAGGTGTAAGTGGTCTCTTTTACTATTTATTGTCATTCACGGGAGATGTTCTCATTATGCGGCTGTGTTAGGTATTGTTATGGCTCACATGAATGTGGCTAGCATTTTGTGGTCAACAAATATTCTAATCTTTCTCTCTCTCTCAAGCTACACAACAGGGCATAGCCCATCCCTCCCTCATCCCCTGACCCCCAGTCCTGGTGGCGACAGAATTTAATCCCAGGTCATCAATTGAGCCACCATCAGTTAGGTCACATGTTTGTTTTTGCATGGCCCACAGGAGAGATGTTCCCAATACACCATTGGGATGTACTTCGAGTATGTGTGGGGCACACTATGTGGGGAGCCAATCTGAGCTCTATGCTGCAAGTATGTCCCACAGTATATCCTCATCGTGCATTGGGAACATAGGAGAGATATTCCCAATGCACTGTTAGGATGTGCTTAGGAGTTTATATCTCCACCCCACAATTAGATACATCTYCTGATGATACTATCAGAACTGATGATGTCATCATCGAGAGATATTCTCAATACACGGTGGAGATGTACTGTGAGGCGGAGATGTAAACTCCGTGCTTAAAACATGAGTGGGGACCGGGGAGCCAATCCGAGCTCTGTGCTGCGACTTTTGCGCTGCTTTAACCGAAACGCTTCCAAGAAGCAACCTACCATAGGTTTGCTGGAAAGTGGATTTTTGAACTCATGTGAACCTATTTCCGGGCATCATGGCTCATGCGGTTGTCCAAAAGCCCACAAAAAAAGTAAAATACAAATACATAAAAAATACAAAATACAAGATACAACGTTTGTTTGTAATTCAAATGTTCACTCTTTTCTGGCAATTCTCATGGTTATCCTGTTCCTGCAATTCTCATTATATATATATATATATAATTCGTACGTCCACTCCCTTGCACGACGTTTATGGGGAGATGTTCCCGATGCGCAGCAGCTGTAGTGTTGCGCTTTTTTAGGGAAGTCCTCAATTGTGTAGCCTTCTGCTAATAAGTCCTCAATTGTATATGCTGCAACTTAACACTTGAGAGTGGAAAATTTCTAGGTCGTTTTCTCTGAATCACTCGTGCGCAAGAGCGCGAGACATAAGCCTTGAAAAGAGAAGTATTTAATTTATAACTGCCGTTCAAAAGTTAGGCCAATGTTGAAGTACAAACAATGGAAAAAGAAGTCTCAAAGGATTAATTGGATGAATAATTTGTACTGTACACACTAAGGTAGGTTCACTTGGAACTCTATGGATTAAGCTTCTGCATATTCTGCATAAAGAACTAACAACTATTACTCTTCAGTATTCTGGTGTTCATTTGAAGAAATACATTTTAGAAGGCTTCTCTACTACACTCATCCTTGATTTCTCTCCACTGAATGTGTGTCCTTGAATTGTTGCCTTTTCCGTTGATGACAGAATTTTCAGGCAATTTAATGTGTGGTAAGCTAGCTCTCTCTCCCCTTGTTTTAATGTCACTTTGGTTAAGCCATGTTATCAGCTATTTTTCTGATTGCTGAATATGTTCCACTGCAAGAACATGCTACTCCGACTGTAATAATAAAAATGCAAACCGCAATCTGAAAGAGAAACCAGAAGCAAAGGAATTATTAGGAAGGTATTTCACATTAGCACCTTAAGATGATGGTGATGATGGTGATGATGTTGATAGGAAGTATCACAGAGAGGTTATATATGTAGGTTCCTTTTACCTGAAACCTATTCAATCTGCCGCGCAAGATTCTGAGGTAGCATGCACATGGAAAGATAAGAGCCTGCCATACGACATCAATTCAAAACTCGAATCAATTTGCTGTTTTTCATTTCATTTCATGTGTTATAACTCAACATACATATTAAAAGGGCATCTGCGGAGTGAAACTTACTACAAGCATTGTAAGAAAAGACCCAATAAATGCCAACATGAAACCTGCAATTTCGATTGATAAAAGCAGTGTAACTTGGTGGCTGTTCTACTTTTTGGTGGTCAGGTAAGAAACAAGCCCATGAAAAGATTAGCAACTATACAGAACATTAATTTAAGTAGAGTGAGAACTTACCAAAGAAAGGAACTGCCAGTGCCACATACAATGTTGAGAGTACTAAAGCTGTTCTGATAACTATTGAGGCACAATGAGTTCTTAGCTTAGCTGAAGGCAAGAGTTCCTCCAGACTCAATGCAACTGGAGTCATCGTCAGGGCATACTTTGATAGAGGGTTCACTGCCTGAAACACAATAAACTCATTTAAGAAGAAAAACAGAAAAAGGACAAACATAAAGAAAATATCATCATATCAAAAATTGCATGACGCGACGGTTGATGGTTCAGTGCTAACGTAACACAATTTCTAACCTCACAGATTCAACCTGAAAGTAACTATAGGTGCAGAGCTCGTATGGTTATCAAGGTCAAATACATATGRATTTGGGAGAGCACAAAAATTGTTACATTGGATTTCTTGATTATCATACCGTTGTCCATGCTGCAACCTTGGAGGCAACAAAATTCTGAGGCAAGTTTAGAGTGAACTGAGACTCCATGGATTCACCAAACATCAGAAAGCCACATACTGCTACTCCACTGTATAGGAAAAAGCATATAACGAAACTGCAATTTAAGAACAATAGCATCGGCTTGAGGAACATATATAGTACCATAGTAACAAAGAAACTGTGCTAATGGAAACAAGCAAAACCATGGAAAAGAAGAACCGCAAGTACTGGAGACTGCCATGCGTGTGATGAAAATTTATGATCATTAATTAGCATGATATCCATAAAAAACAGGTTGGATACGGCGGGGGGGGGGGGGTTGATTGTTCTTCTTCACCATTCTGAATTAATGTCATTGCAAATGAATAAATGGAACTTCGTTAAATAAACGTTCCAAAAAAACAACATTGCCAGCTTAAGTATTCTTAAACAAAATATGGAAATCACAAATCTAGTAGTTGATTACCTGGCCATTAGAACTGATGAAAACTGTGATGGGTTCTTCATGGAAGAGTAAATATTTGGAAAAACTGAGTGCCCGGCATAGCAAAAACCACATATCCCAATTGCAACAGGAAGGTTTACAAGGTCCAAAGCAGTCCCACTTGGATGAAACCCAACTTTGTCCACAGCCCCCACCCATAACAAGCAAAGCACCAAAAGTAGTGTTGAAATTACTCCTCCAGCTGAAACAGAAACTCTCTGGAATGAGTAAGTTTAGCTCAGATTAATCTAGTAGTAGAAATGAATTCCTAGATGCTAAAAAGAACATGACCAGTGAAGGACCTGAAAGGTATGAGAGCAAACTTAGGTCCCGAAGCCAAACAGTTGGAAGAACAAGGATGGTCATTGCGATGGCGAAAATGTGATGACAATCCAAATAAATCCCAGCAAAACTCATTTCGACATTTGGAAACAAGGACGACAAATTATCACTCATTAGAGTAATGTATTCCACGCTACAGACCTTCATAAATTGTATTGGACTCTTTAGTCCACGTTAAAGACAGGGCATTCCACATTTACAGTTTAACAAGGAACTGAACAAGAAAGAGTACAGATGGAAGCCTTCCACTTACATATAGCTCAATGTAAAGGATTATCTGCAAGAGAAACAGATTCAGGTGTCAACGTTGTTTTCCATAGAATATATTTAGTTCTGCTTCTAATCATGCAAATTTCAACAATTGAAGGCAGAGATGAAAGGAAGATTCAGATATTATACATATATGTAACTTGATATATACATTTATACAAAGAGATTTGTATATTCAGGAAGTAGCAATTGATGATGAACTTACAGCTATGACTGAGCGACCATATACCCCAAAGGCAGCTTGCCCAATATCGGGGTAAGTTTTGAGTCCAGGAGAGCTCTCTAAACATGTCTTCAACAGAATTCCAGTGTAGCATGAGATGACACCAAATACAAAGAGAACCAAGAGGGTTACCCACCCTCCTTCTTTGACTGCAAAAGGAGTTGAAAGGAGTCCCACCCCACATAGGATGTTGACACCTGTAGAAAGAAGAAAGGATCGTCTAAATACCGTTCAGRAAATTGAAAATGGGATACATAAGGAAATATGTGTACGCAGCTGCAATTTTGAAGTGTTAAACCTTGTGTATTTAACCCATTAATTCCCACTGCTTATTCTGTTTTAAATGATAGACTGGCCTTCTCCCAAGCCAACCCCACTCCCTCTGATGCTTTAACTATACCCATAGTTCTAAGCATGCACAAATGGAACGTAATGCAGAAAATATTAATAATAAAGAGTTGCTTGATGATAAATTACCATTTAAGACTGATTGAGCATATGAACACTCTCGGGATTGCGGTAATTCTAGGTAGGAATACCTTGGGGAAGAAGCTACAGAATGCCTTGGATGGAAGGACGCAGGAGGTACCTCATCTCTGTCCCAGAATGTAGGGTCAAAGAGAGGTTTACTCAGTGGTGAACCAGAATCTGAATGATGTTTCTTGAATAGTGAAGAAGACAAGAAAGAGCTGCTAATTCCTGTAAAACTCCCGCCTATGAAACCAACGTTGGAAGGGGTCACACAGCTCGTATACATGTCCATCGACTGCCTGAACATGTCCAACAGACACAGACATAAAGATGTATCCAGAAACCAGAATAAAGAACAAAAGCAATAGAAAAAGAAAAAAAATAATAATGATAATTTCCAGATATTCATCTTAGTTCCTTTTAGGCTCAATTTGGAAGGAGTAGAAATACATACAAAATTAGAAGGCTTTGCACTCCACATATTTGTATTCGTACTCCTTCCAAACTGAGCCTATTAGGTTTTACCATTCCTCCCCAGAGAAGGTTATAATTACAATTTGTTCGAGGGACTGCCCATGACACCTTCCTTAACCAAGAAGCTATGATATGTATTAAGAAGAGTCAAGAGTCTACAATGGTATCTACAAAGAATTGATGATTTCAAGTTCGGAACCCCCATGACTGCATATGAAAGTTGTTGAACTTGTCTGTTCAAATAAAATTTGAACACAAGGACTTTGTGGTGAAACTGGCCACATGGAAAGATGGTGCATGGCATTCTAAACCAAGAATCCCATGCATGTTGGCTAAGCACTAAAGCTGGTCTCTACCAAAATCCAATAATCCATAGAACACAGTACGTGCACTGTGTCATATAGGGTCCGTCACACGTACGTGGGAGGGACAAGAGAGAGAGAGAGAGAGAGARGAGACCTGTAACTTTGAGGCCAGGAGGTGGTGTAAGAATCGATTGCAAAATCCGAGGGTCTCGGCGAGGAAATAGTGCTATCAGATTCATAACCATCTTGGCCCTCTTCAATTGTTTCGGCTTGATTTTCTTCATCGTCCGTCTGGAAGTCCAATCCTCGATCCATGCCGAATTCTTCCTCCGGCTTCATTTCCTCCTCACTCCTCAATTCCAATCAATAACAAATTAACAATGCCCGCCAAGCCAAGCTGTCTCTCTCTGAACTACAAACAGCCGACTTGCTGTTAAGGTTTTGGTTTCCAGGTTCGAAAAAGCTGTGAATCCTTCTAAAAAGAAATTTAGAAAAAAAAAAGAGTGAGAGAAATTAAAGAAGAGGAATAATAATGTATAAGTATAAGAATCCTTAGAAGAGCCGTTTGATATTTGATCACTCTTCACCATTCTCAAACTTATCGGATTCGAAAACGTGAATGTCGCTCAATTCACTAAATAAAGTTGGGGATTGCTGGTAATATCGTTGAATTCGCGGTGAGCCGCTAAATTAATTGGTGGACTGGGCACTGCTCCTAAATCTTATTAGCTTAATAATAATAGGGATTTTCAATTGGACAACACAACGTAACTACGTGAGTTTATTAAGGTTGAATATTTTTTTCTATTTTCTTCATGTTTTGGGTATATTATAGAGAGCCCTTGTAATATGGATTATTGATAAATACCCCCAAACTTTTATTTACAWTAAAGACCCTCCTAAACTTTCAATTTACATCAAATACTTCTTTGATCGTGATGGGGCGCATTAAATTATTATTGGGGTTTTTATAGGGGTGAACTGAACTATAGACTTTTTTTTTCACTTTTTTCTCTTAAATTCTAATTGACAAAAAAATTCCTCAATTTTCTTCAAACGGAAACCAGCTAAAATACAAGAATCATTTCACTAGTATAGAAAAAAAAGATTTTTTTTTTTTTAAATTCTTGATTCATTCACTCACATAAATGYTTCTCTTCATCGTATAATATAAAAATTATACACCTCTTTCTCCCAAAAATCAAGAAAAACTAAACAAAATCATAAATTTATATCTTTTAGAAATACCTCTACATTTGATTTGAATATTGAATGTAGATAGGAATCTACAAAAAACTATTGGAGCAACCAAGGATTCGATGTTATTGATGGAGGGTAATTTAGCCAACCAACCATGAAAAGACACATGGCAAGCCCAAATTGTCTAGTGACACCTTGGTGCCACGTAGAGCATGTTAGTCGGTTCCATGATGACTTAAACTGACCTGCCTAGATTTGACCTTAACCCAGAGATAGACCAGTTCATGGGCCGGGCCGGGCTTTCACTCTGTATTGACAGAATTTTCTAAGGCCCGAGCCCGAGCCCGGCCCTCATAAAAAGTCCGAAGCCCGGGCCTAGGCCCGAGTCCGAAATTTAGCCCATATTGTTAGCGGCTGAATAGAGAGAGAGAGGGAGAGAGATTATAAAGAAAAGAATAAAAAATGTATATATTAAATTATAAATATATATTTTAATAAATATTATATTATATATATTTTATATAATACATAAAATACATATTATATATTTTATAAAATATATAATACTCAGTCGGGCCAGGCCGGGCTTTTTTGACAAATCCCGAGCCCGGCCCGAAACACAGTCGAGCTTACTGTGTCAGGCCCGCGGGCCTAATTACATGACCAAGCCCGACCGGGGTGCGGGCCGGGCCAGGCCAAGTCATCGGGCTATCCGGCCCATGAACAGCTCTACCTAGAGAGGATGGTAGAATGCCCCCCAACAGGGCAGCACACACCACCTCGATAGACATAGTGAGGCTGTCTTGACTCCAACCTGGGTTAACTGAGGACTTGATTAACCAACTATTTGGGGTAATGAGCTACCGACCTACAAGGTGGATCAACCTTATTCGGGGTAGCACGACCTACGGTCCCAAGTTAGGCAGTGACACATTACTTACTTAGTGTGGATGACCCTAGCTCCCCGCATGACACAACATGCTCGGATATCCTAGACAAGAAACTTGGATCCCTATGCCTATAAAAGGACCTGAGCACTCCTTCACAAGGTACACGCATACTGTGCAGATCACCTACTTCTTGTTCTCAAGTTCTCTGCTCTTAATTTTCGTATTGCTGACTTAAGCATTAGAGTGCTCAGCCTGGGATCAACACCGTGAATATTCTAATCATTCTTGTCTTGCAATTTGATGGAGCAACCTCATCAGCCTCTGAATTGTCCTCCAACAAGGAGATCAGCAGATTCCTACTACAACAGTTATATTTAGAAAATTAATTGAATCATAAATCATTCAAATAGATAAGGGTAATTTGGGGATTTAAAAAATTTTAAACAGATAGATGAGAATCTTTTTTGAAGTTAACTGATGAAAGTCTAATGAAAATGAATTGTGTATTTATAGCAAAGTGAAACTTCAGGGGTTAGTGTGAAAGAGTACAAATACAAATATGTAGAATGCAAAGCCTTGTATTTTGTATTATTTTATATGTATTTGTATTTTCAAAGCATACATTTGTATTTTCATAGCATACATTTGTATTTGCACAGCATCCAAATATAACTAAAGTGAAAGTTAGGGGTATTTAACACAAATTCACATGGGTACGCCACAAAGCGCGCCCCACAGCCCATCCCAACCGTGCATTAGCAACATCTTCCCATGGCAAATACCCCTAACTTTGAAAGTATTATTACAAGACCTTGCAATTGGACTGGATAAGAAATTACTAAGTTGTTGAGCTCAAACTCAATCCTGCATTTTCATTGATCAAACTTGGCAAGGCCAATGCAACCGGTGCAAACATTTTGAGCCTGCTCTGCATTGAGACTTTTTTTAGTGTTTCAAAAGTAGCGGAATAAGACATAACCCTATAATTCCAAATTTTATAGGAATAGGAGTGAAGACCGGAGAGGGAAGTCACTAGTGAGCGTGAGATACAGAAGATGGACTGAGTTTGTGGAGGAAAGGAAAAAAAAAAAGAGCAATTTGATTACTTTTAGGCCCCCTTTATTTTTTTTATAACTTATTTATTCGGGTGGTGTATTTACCCATGTTCTTTTATTTCCCAAGTAAAAAAAGGAAAATAACCATTTTAACCGTAAGAATCCATTATTAAAAGGGGTATTTTTGTCCCATTCAAGTGTTGGAAACTTTCCCAATGTGAAAAAGTTATTTATCCACTTAGGAAATGGGTACCAATAAAATAAACTTCCCCCCATATTAATTTGAAAAAAGAATTTAGGATTCTTGGTCAATGGGAACCAAAATCCCATTGACCACCTTTTCCCCCTTTCAAAATCAAAGAAAAAAAGAACTCCCCTTAATATTTGTCCTTGCGATAGAAGAGGATGGGGGCCAGCGGAAAGACTTTCCGAGTTCTGAGCAGCGCCATGCACTGCACGACCATCAGATAACTGCATTTGATGAAATTGAAACCTCCCCACCGCATGCGCACGGCGCACTCTAGTGACTCCATCGTCGGACATCTTTTCTCTCGTTTCTGTTGAGCCGTCCCGGCAGTACTGAAAGCTGCTGAGCCTGTTGTATAGGGATCAGCAATCTGCATCTGCTGTCATCGCTTGCATCAATGAAGTTGGACAGATCAAAAGAGCTTTGAGAGGAGGAGTCGCATAGGCTGCATTGAATATTTTACTCTACTTCCTGCAGAATTGGGATCTGCTCCTGACAGAATGCACCTCATATTGATCTTACAGTCATATCCCATCCTCTATTGGGAACATCTCTCCATAAATAATAAATACAAATACGAGAGATATTCCCAAGACTCCTTGCTGCATTGTGCAAATGCAACAATCAATGTGTGAGTGACAAGGAACAAAAATCCATGTGGATATCAACTTGATTCCAAACAAACATTCAATCAGAATTCTCTCTCTCTGTTTGGGCCCTTTTGAAAGGTTGGCCTTGTTTGCAACAGAGTTTCTATCCACCAACGGATATCTTTTCTATTAAATGGTTCTTGCTCTGAAAAAGGTAAGACTATGTATCGTTTGATAGAAAAATAAGAGAAATAAAAAAATTGAGGGGAGGTTATTGAGAAATTTTGTAAAATTCCCAATAACCTTTTGTTTCTCTTATTTTATTGCAAACCGAACACAGTGCGGTAGTTCACAATTCAAATTGTCTTGTTAGTTGTTAATTTGTTACATCCACAGTTGGGCCTTCTGTGGGCTTGCGTGAGACCCGTCTTTCTTTTTGTAGGTATTTGGCATCAATGCCATTTCCTCAGAAAATGACACCACATTAGTGCCACATTAAAAATAGTTTTTTTTTTTGGGAAAACGTCTATTGCTTAATTAACTGTTTTTCAAAAACCGTTTTCTCATGCTACCATTTGAGAAAACGCCTCTAAGTAAACGGCATTGGTTCCAAACACCAAATTTGTCTTAGAATAAGATACCCTCCTCCCTCACCTTCTCCAGACTCTAAACATGTATGTGAAATGTGAAATGGCAAATGCAATTTCAACAGTCCATAAAGATAAAGCGAACAATTTTAAAAGTATTAGTAAAATGTCTGAGTGACGACTGTAAACCTTGAAGTTAAATATTTTGCTCGATGGGCTACACAACAGGGGCAGCTCATCTTAAAATCCATAACCCCCAACCTTGGTACAGGATTCAATTCCAAATCTCTGCTACAATCAGATGGAGACCTTACCAACTTGACGCAACAGTTAGATTGTTCCATCACGACCTGGTGACCAAGTCACCAAGGTTCAAAACTTGGAAACAATTTCTGTGTATCTGCAGAGGTAAGGTTGTGTATCAAGTCCAGTTGTCGTAACTCGTAACTTTTGACATTTCTACGCAGTATTACTCCAGCAGGTCGGCAAGAGTATTGACAAGTTCTAATGAAATGCTATTGGGAGTAACAGCAAAATAGGGGAAAATTCATTCAAAAAAATTGGAATTGAAGGGAATAAATGGATGTAAGGTTGTAAATACTTGTAGAGTTAAGGAAAGAAATGTAACCATATACTTAAGAGGTGACATGCAGTGCAGGGACTGGGAGAAAACCTTAAGCTTACTTTTCTAAATTTTAAGCAAAGTTTTAAAAACCAACCAAAAACGAAACAGTTTTAACCACCGGTTTCTGGGTCAATAGTTCAACTATCCGGATCAAACGGTTCAAACAGTTTTGTTGTAATTAACCCTTGGATTGGAACATTAGGGTAGAAGGGTATGAGCAAAAAGAGAGGTGAGTAGCTATCAACTCGGGAAAAAAAGGAAGAAGAAAGCAGGAGGCTAGATTTGGTGGCGGCCAAAACAAAAATTGCAGCGTTGACGTTTCTCTCTAGCCCTTTCAGATCTCTCTCATTCTCTGACTTCAGATATGAGATTTCATATCCCCTCTCTCTCTCAGATCATGAGCTCAAAACTGAATTCTTGTTTCAGTCCCTCCCCGTCTCTCGACCGCCCAGATCAGCAGTTTCCTGACCAATTCAACATTTTTTTTTTTCAAAAAAGCACTCCAGTCCAAAAACAAGCCCAGAGACATGAATGGTTCCCGGATCAAACAGTTAAACCGCCCAGTCCAATCTGGTTTTCAAAACAGTGATTCTAAGTGCATAAAGAAAGCGAACATGAGAGGATCAGAGGATGCAATGTTTACTGCCACCAATTATTTTGGAGGATCAGACCGGTGAAGGCTAGCGAGAGAGACCTTAAAAGAAATCAAGGAAGCATCGTGTGCATTTCTTTCCTGTAGATGATTGTAGTGTGGGAATTGTATGACTCTGAATGAGCCGTTGCCATGTCCTCCAAGAAGAAAAACAAGGCATTAAGTGTGATTCCCTCTGTTTGCACGGTGTACAAAGATGACATTCTATCAATCCAACTCATTAATACATAGCAATGTCATAAAAGGAACTAGCAGCAAACAACTTCTAATTAACGCACAATAATAATTATCATTATGGGGAAAAATTCATGTTGTAGAATGCTTGTGCCAAGGAAGCACTTCAATATAGAGAGGTGGATTTTCTTCTTTTTTTTGTTTGCTTTTTCTAATGTTCATGAAAATTAAGGAAACCAATCAGGAAATATGAACAATCTGGAATAGCAGAACGTATTGTAAACTGAATAGAAATGGAACAAAGAAACAATTATCACTATGAAGAAAAGCAGAATATATCATGTATAAATGATAGTTACGTGCATTAAGCGTTAATGAAAGGATTTCTCTTTACGTCCGTATGACACTGCCACACTGGCAATAATAAATAAAATACAAATTTTGTGGATGGTGATCATAAAAATGTGGGGATGCATTGCCACCACACCTTCCACAGGTAAAGCATCCATTCGGCACGAGAGCGATCCAATCATACTGTTAAGAACATTGATGAGAAAATGTTCCTGTCGAGGCAGCACTAATTCACCAGCAATCAATCAGACATATCATCTTCTGCCCCACTAGAGTGATCCATGTCGTCTTGGACCCGAGCACCCTTGTTGTGCCTTACAAGACCATCATCAGTGGTTAACCTTCCTCTCTTTGAACTTGAAATACCCGCCTTGAAGTTCTCATAACCCTGGAACGTGTGTAAGCCAAAAGTAATATAGAATCATATGAACCTCAAGAGATCAATTTTATAGGGGAATAATAAATCCAGCTAAAGTATTAAAAAAGGAAATGATGACAATAGAATGTTCATTGACTAAATGCCTTCTAGAGATTACCCCTGATTCCTGCACTTCAATTACAGCAACTTCCGGTCTACACCTTACAGTCACTCTTGAGGGAATGGGATAATGTTCAATCTCATCACTGGACCTTCCCTCTTTTGCCCTCTTTTTCCTCAAAACAAGCTTTGTGGGAAGAGGCTGCATAGTTACAGTAGTACGAGTCAAAGTCATTGTCATCTCCTATCTAAAACACATATGACATTTTGCCCAAGCTATTACCAAGTAGCGTGCTGCTTCATCATCAAAAGTCACGAGGTATGTTGTTGGGTCATCTGCATCATCACCCCGGACCTGTTTCCATGGAAAAGAAAGTTCTTAACTTTCAGTTTTAAATGAATAACAAGAGGAAAAATAAACAAGTCATATCTTTGGTACATACATCCCAGTGGTATTCTCTAACCCAAGAATATGAGACATCTTCATTCTCATCATATACATCCTTTCCTAGCTGCAGTCACAATAAAAAAGAATCAGAAAACATTCCACACATAATAAAAGATTCACTTTTTTTTTGGACAAGTTTAAGATATGAATATAATGAATACCCAGAGGCCAGACAACTTCATTTCTGACTAAAAATGCAGCCCTACCTCATCCGGTGAAGGAACCATATATGCCAAAAACTTTTCAGGCTTTGTTGAATCTGAGCCTCCAGCAATAAAACTCTTCATAATCGCCTGCGGTGAGCATGCAGGATGAGGATGGAAAATAATACAAAATGAATGCCATCACAATATCTGTACTTTTAAGTAGCATCATCATGCAATACAGCAATAAGAATCTATGAACAGGTTTCATGAGTGTAAATCATGTGACATCTTGTTGCAAATTGCAATTAGGACCACCAACAACACTATGCATATCTAGTATCTAGAAAGAATAACAAGCTTAGATCAATATCATGCAGACACAAATACACTATTAGTTGATGAAGGTATTCTAGCTAGAGCACGCATTTTGAAAATGGATTGCAGAAAAAATAGAGCTCATGAGTGAATTTCTCTTTTTTGAGATGCAATAAAGATTATCATCAAACTATCCATACTGAAGTGAAATTGATATAACCAAAGACATACCGCAGAAGCCATCATCAAGTGTCTAGAGCATGAAAAAGAAAAAGAAGCAGAAAGGAAAAAGGGCTAACCTGTGATTCATAAGCATCCCGAATAGATCTGTCCAACTTGCTGTAGATTTCAGAATCAGCAGTAGGATCACTATCAAAGGCTGCTGTGACAAACCGATCATCAAGCCTGGTATAGAACCACTACAGTGCAGTTAGCTTCAAGGTCAACAAAGAAATGCCAGGATGAAAATGCATATAAATCTGAATCAATATGAAATGCAAACCAGTTAACTTTTTAGGCTCAGATTGGAAAGAGTACAAATACAAATATGTACAATGCAAATACATACAAAATATAAGGTTTTACATTCTACATATTTGCATTTGTACTCCTTCCAAACTGAGCCTTAGTTCCAATTAACAGTGACAGTGTCTTTCAAGCAGGCTAGCATAGTTCAGAATATCCTGTATCATTTTGCAGTATTATTCCCTAACATTCAGAAACCAGACCAACCAACCACCCCTTCCCCACACATGGAAGTGAGGTGTGCAACATACAACAAGAGGAACTTCATGTACAGGCTTCCTTGATGACATCACTTACTGTTTCACTGATGGCCACATTCCTAGTTAACCATTCCACTCAATAGAAGTTTTTGGACACTTGAGGTGTTCATAAATTGCAAGGATCTGTTCCAGATCTACACATATTAGAGAGAATGATGGTGTTGAATGTGAGCCAAAGATGGTGAAGATGGTGGTGGCTAGCATTAGAGTTGATGCAGGGAGAGTCAGAAGGTGGAAGCGGGAATGATGGGTGTTGAATGCGAGTCTAGTGGGGAGATTTGTGGGACTGGATTTGGAGGTGGAAAAAGTTGAAGCTTGGGCAAGTCTCAAATGGGGGAGAGACAAGGTTATGGGTGTCAGGAAACTGAATGGATTGAGAAATGGGGAAGCAACGAGGGTCCATTCACCTCAACCAGAGAGGAATCCACGGAGAGGAGAAGAGCTTCAAGGGAAGGAAAAGGAAGTGCAGGAAGAAGATGTACAGGTACAGGATGAACACGATGGAGATCTGACTGGGGAGGTGAACCTTACACCACTGCAGGTCCATTTACCTCAACCGGAGGTGGAGGATTTGGTTGTCTCAGTGAGGTCTTGTATGGAGGAAGAAGATAGCAGCTCAGGGAATGAAGAAAGTACAGATGAGTGTGAAAAAGAGTCTAGCATTGAACAACACAAAAAAGAGGTAAGTACACACAACATTTATAAAGTGGTAGGTAAGTATGCATAACATTTATACAGAGGTGGCGTTGGGGGAGCAGTGTGAGACTCAAAGGGTTGGGGAAGAAGAAGAGAAGAGGGCTGAAGACAGGAGGAGAAAAAACCCATTTGAGGCTGAAGGGAGAGATAAACAAAGAAAGTTTATAAAAGTAGGAGGTCGGTGGGGACCGTTACGAGAGTAGGAGAGGGGAAGGGGGATGAAGGTCAGAAACTGGGAGGGGTGTCTAGATGAGGAGAGGAGGCTGAGGAGAGAAGGGGTGTGGTACAAGAAAGCACTGAAACAATCTGAAATGGGGAGGTTCAAATCAGCAATGAAACTAGTGGAGAGGGAGGTGAGTGGGCAATTCCTTGGGTATCTTCTTTTGGGGAGGGGAAGGATTTGCAAGGATTGCTTTCGAGAGCAGTTTGATAAAAAGAGGGAGGAAAAAAACAAAGGAAAGGAAAGAATAGAAAGGGTTGGGACGAAGAAGGGGGCAAGGAGTTGTTGGATGAAGAACAATGAGGGCTCGGAATTTTACACTTCTCAATGAAATAAGAAGGGGGGAGACTAGGATGAGGGTGTTAAGTTGGAACATCAGGGGATTGAGGGAGAGAAATAGAAGGGCAGTAGTGAGGAATTTAACAAGTATGTGTTGTTATAGGAAACAAAACTGGAGACTTTTGATGTGGGAATGAAGGAGATTTTTTTTTTTTTTTGGGGGGGGGAGGGGGTTGAACACTGGAGAATGGTTGGAGCTAGAAGACAAAGGGCTGTCAAGGGGTTTAGATATTTTATGGGACCCAAGGGTATTCAGAAAGATAGGAGAAAAAGTTGGCAAGTTCTCGGTCTTAGTAGGTTTGAAGAAAGTTAATGGGGACTAATGTTTAGGGTTTGACAAATATCTATGGGCCGAATATAGGAGAGGTGAGGATTAGGGCTGTAATCAGATAGGATTTAATAAAATCTGAACCCAATCTGATTATTGAAAAGTTGCATCCAAATGCTACCCAAAATCCAATCAGATTTGAAGACCTCGGATTCAAATTCAAATCCTAATGGACTTGGATCAGATTCAAATTTAATCTGACTCCACTTTAATTTTTTAAAAATACAAAGAAAAATTAAAAAGTAAATTACTTTTCAACTTTTATATATAATAAATTAATGTAAATATAACAGTAGTTATATTATATATAAATTCATATATAATATATAAATATATTTTTTATAATTTCAAATATAACTATATAAATTTATATATTAAAATCAATAAAAATTATAATACAAACATATTCGGATTTTAACCGGATCAGATGGGGTCAAATCCAAATCCAGTTTGATTATTAATTGGATGCAAATTGTAAAATCCAATTCCAATCCGATTACATAAATACACCACCCGAATCCAAGATAATCGAATCAGATTGAAGTTCTGGAAGAGCTGTAAAATCCAATTCAGGTATCATTGATAGGTCTAGTGAGGGTTGAAGTTCTAGAAGAGCTGGAAGGGCTCAGGCAAGTGTGGGAGGGTCCATGGTGCATACAAGGAGTTCGAGAACAAGTGGAGAATAAGTCAAAGAATATTGAAATGCTTGTGGCCGCATTTGGGATCCTACTGCCTATCTGGGTTTTGGTGGTCCCAAAGTTTGATCAAGTTAATCGGTCAGATTTGGGGGAGAATTTCTGGAATGTTCTTGAAATCCAAGCTTGTAATTTTGAGCAGTTCTTTATGATCTAGCCTGAATCTGAATTGTATTGATGGAGTGTCACCTTGACACCTCCCAGATTGTAACTTGCCTTTTTTATATTTAATGAATATTTCCTTCTGTTAAAAAAAAATTAATCAACCACCCCACATCCTCACTAAACATCCAGTACACCATTAATTGCTTATATACTTTGAGATAATTAAGTTCCTAATTCTCATAAAAAAAAACAGAAAAGCTCTTCTAGAACTGTCTGAAACATGATTCCTATGTAACTACCACCAGCTTGAATATAAAAGAGAATCATTCCAATGCCCATTAATCTGTATCACCTCCTGACTGGACAGAAAATAGTGGGTGAATGGGTCTCAAAATGATTTTTTATACCCCTTCAGGACTGCTATAAATATGTGAAGAAACCCTATTTTTATTCTTTAGAAAGCTGATCAACAATTTGCAGTTCCTAATTTCTCTTCACAGAGGACTCATCCACAAGGGCAGAGAAAACCAACCTTTTCATTTAATTCTATTAATGCAAAAAACATTTGTATTTTTAGCTTCTCTTTTCATTGTAAAGAAGCTATGAAGAAAATACTCTAATATATATATATATATATGTATTGCAACTGAGTATATAATTCAACTATTTATCTAATTCCATCACCAAATCTATACTTTCTTCAAATAAAGATCCTTCTAAAGTACATGTCCAGAAAAAGAACTATGGCCATCCCTGGGAGAGATGAGCCACCAATTCAAAAAAGTTTAGATGTTCCAGAATATCTGTGAATAATTTTTCAGGATAAGTAATTATTATTCCATACCTATGTCTTCTCACAATATTTGTAATTTTACTTATATGCATAGCATAGATAAGTATACCCAAAAGTACAGGTATATACATGCAAAACTATCATCATCATCATCATCATCCAAGCCTTATCCCAACCATATGGAGTCAGCTACATGAATCCATACATGCAAAACTATGGTCCATAAAAATAAACATCAGGTGGAACAGAATCTTACCGCTCAAAATCAGGTAACAGTGGCAAAATCTCAACAGGTTGCAAATTAGGATTAGTTGCATGAACTGGGGGCAACTTGCATGCCTCAAACGATGTTTCAATAGCCTGAATTTGTTTTTCTCTGGGGGAAAAAATAGTTTGCTTTTAAGGGGAAAAGAAGAGCCATTTGAATATGGTGATGATATGTAAATTTGTTAATGTATACAAATTGAAATCAATTCGTACCTATTGTTAAGGTTTGCCAAAAGATTGATGCCTCCTCTTGTTTCTCGCAACTCTTTGGCTTGCTTCTCAGTCAATGACTGCAATTAATGATACATCAATTATTACATTTTATTGTTGAGAAAGAGGAATGTACCACTTGTAAGCCTACGCAGGTAAGACATACCTGTTTTGCTGCATCCATACTAAGAGGAGAAATATATTGTGTCTTAACTAGCCAGGCAACACCTTTATCTGTAGGTCGCTCTTTCCTTCTAATGCCTTCTTGTTTAACAGGTGTTATTGACTCACTATCACGCAATAACTCTTCATCTTCTGGAGCAAGTGGTGGTCTTACACTGGGAGGACTAGTACATAATAACAGTTGATATCAGAATGGTTGTAGGTACAGAAATTGTCGATATCCTCAACAAGAGTTATGTAGAGACATACTTGTACACATTGAGGTCAAGCAGATCAAGCGGTATACCGAGATCTGGCTCCACAAAAAGTTTGGGCTTGTGCATCTTCTCCAATGATGTAATGGCATATTTAGTGTACCTATAATGTGGAAAAAATATGTTATAAGTAATAGCATATGGACATAAATGCTTTCAAGTTTTAAATTAGAAGAAAAAAGTAAATAAGAAAGTCAAATACTACAACCACTGTTTCTAAGAACAAAAAACTCTAGGCCCAATTTGGTTTGCAGGAATAGGGATCTGGAATCAGAACCGAATAGAGCTATAGATTCCAATTGTTTGGTTGGGCAGAACCAGAATCCCATTCCCTTTCCTGCTGGAATGGCATTCCCCCATTTGAGGGAATGGCCACTCCCTGCCCCTCCTTTGGGAATGAAATAGACCATTCTGATTCCAATTCCAACTGCGAACCAAATGGACCCCTAGTTTAGAACCATGGACAAAATTACCGCATCCAATCTCCCATGATATCAAAAAAAGAAATTGTTTGTACACCAGATATTGAATTATAGCAGGCAGAAATACTATTTTACTACCAATACATATTAGCAATGTTTTTCCAGGTAAAGAGACAGATGTAAAGCCTACCTAGAGATTCAAAAGACCTTGTTCAAGCATGAATACATAAAAGGCACAAATCACAATAAATTGAGGCATAGAAATCAGCATGCTGTGCCGATTACTCTATTGCTTCTTTACTTCCTCAATGCATTTTGCAATTAAGAATTTGATGTAGACAGGATTGAAAAGGTAAACAACAATCAAGAATGGAAAGAGAGAGCTAATAAAAGCAAATATACAGCCAGAATGGAATTGCTTCCAGTGCAAGCAAAGAAAAAATAATGATTGGGGTAACAATGGCAGAAGTCATTTCAAAATTTTGAACCAACCCAGTCATTCTACTGGGTAAAACTGGGAACAGCATATTGTGCCAAGTCCTTTGATGGAATGGAAGACCCCATGCCCCAACAAGTTAAAGCTGAACTTTGATGGGAGCTCTATAGGAAACCTGGGTATGGCAGGCATTGGTGGTGTGATCAGAGATTCCTCAAGCAAAGTGTTGGCCTTGTACTCAGGACCTTTAGGGGAAGGAGATTCCTTAAAAGCTGAATTTTAGCCCTGCTGCAAGGGCTAAAGATTGCCAAGCAAACTGATCTTAAGAACTTGGAGATAGAAGGGGACGCAAAAACAGTGATATCTTGGACCAATTCAAGCAGTAATGTTCCTTGGAACCACAGATATCCATTAAGGGAGATAGTAAGCATAGCAAGGGAACTTAATGCCTCATTCACATGGGTCAGGAGAACTGCAAATGGAATGTCTGCATTCTTTCTGATGTAACTCTATTGTAACTCTATTTTAATTATATTAATTGAATAAAATTCTCACTTTGCTGATAAAAAAAACAGCACATTGTGCCAAGTCAATTTAGTTTATAAGTTGCCTGTGCAAAAGAACCAATCAAGACTGCTCTGTGGCAATACTTCTTTTTTCATTTTTTATAAATAACAGCTTAAAGAGTTTTTTTATCAGTAACAGATCAAAGAGATTTTATTGATGAATAAAGARATCTTTTTGAGTATATGTATTATATGTGTTGAATAACTTGGATTATTTTAAGTTTAGTGCTGCAAGGGCACCTTTGTAATTTCCCTTTTCTTTTTTTCTGTATGGTCGCCCTAGTATAAATACTATATAAACTGGCGCCGCCAGTTGACTTTTTGCCCCTCTCAATTCTGTTTCTCTTTTCTCTTCTCTTTTCTCTTTTCTCTCTTCTCTCTTCTCCTTCTCTCTATTCTGGAATCATACCATCTCAGCACCAAGAAAACATGGTATCAGAGTGGCAGATCCAATCTTAGGACCAGGGCGGTGCTTCTTTCCTTTTTTGTCTATTGGTGATCGAACCAAAGAACAAGATCTCTTGTGGGCATGTGAGGAAGCTCACTGCAAGATGGTTCTTTTCTCTTGGTCGTGAGACCAGAAGTTATCAGGGGGGAGAAAAATCAAATGCTGTGAGTCAGTTTCGAATGCTGAGTTTTCTTTATTTTTCTTCAGTTTTGTGGATCAAACTGATCCTTTTGTACCCAGATGAGTGGGTTATGTGGGTCTAATGACCTGCGTCTGGTGTGAGAGTGTCTTCTCTCAATGTATGTGGATCAAATGATCCTTCTTATGCCCTGAAAGGTGTTATTTCTTCAAGACTGCAGATCTGTAACTGCTGTGACAGCTGTGTATTTCCTTCTTCTATTCATATTGAACCTAAGTTACTGTGTGAAAGCTGATTTATTGCTAGAGGGAATGGTCAGACCTGTTTCTGTGATATACCTTGCACATCTGAAATGGTGTGTGATCAGTCTAAAATGGTTCAGTAGGGCCAAAATCTAAGAACAGTAATGGTGTGTGACCAGCTTTGATTTCTTTGTGTGAGAACAAGCTTTCTTGTGTCCAGAAGTGTGGATGAACTGAGACTGCAACCTGTTTTTTGACTGTACTGTGAATCTGAACTGAACTGAAAACTTGTTCTCTAGCTGGATTGTGATTGAACAGATTCAGCCTCTATGTCTTCTGAAGATTTTGGTATGTTTGGTGTTACCTCTAGTCAGAGTGGGATGAGCGGAGGTTTTGACATGAGTTTTCCCATGGCTGTGATTCCCTTTAATGGTCTMAATTACCTAGAATGGTCAGGGGGAATCAAGCTCTACATAACTGCAAGGGGAAAAGCGGGGTATATCAATGGCAAAATCAGAGAACCCCAGTCTAGTGGTGTGGAACATGATAGGTGGGACCGGGAAAACAGCATGACGATGTCATGGCTGTTATTGTCTATGCTGCCACAAGTGAGAAAGACCTTCATGTGGGCAGAAACAGCTCATTAGATAAGGGAGCAGGCACAGTCTACATACTCCGAACAACGACATTATGCTAAAATATATCAGTTGCAGGCTGCCTCCTCAACTTGTAAACAGGGGGAGAGGAGTCTCTCCATCTACTATTCAGACCTGACTTCTGCTTGGAAGGAACTAGATCACTATCAGAATATAGAATGGAAATGTGATGCAGATGCCAAAGCATACAATTCTCTGGTTTCCCAGCAACGAGTGTTTGCCTTTCTCTTAGGGCTGAATCCCACATATGAATCTATCAGGGTTCAGATATTGGGGGGTAAAGACCTCCCATCAGTACAAGAAGTATATGCTCTAGTACAGTCAGAAGAGAACAGACGGAATGTGATGAATAATCCTGAGGGAGAGCATGTTGCTTTAGCAGCTAAAGGGAGTGTTGCTACGGGTGGTGGAAATTCCTTCAAGAAGAGTGACTTCTAGAAGAAAGTTGATGACAAAGATAAGCTATGGTGTACACACTGTCAGAAGTCTAGGCATACTCGGGAGACATGTTAGGAGCTTCATGGGAAGCCAAAGTGGGCTCAGAAAATGAGTAAAAAGCCGGATCAAAATAAGAAGCCGAGACAGCAAGATCAGAGGAAGTTTAATGCAACAAATTTAGCCTCTCAAGAGCCTCAATCATCTACCACTACTATGAGTTCTTCCGGGACTGATCCGAGGGAAGATATCATTAATTCTTTTCGTGACCATTTGGAGTTGTATGGGAGGGCAATCCGCCAGATGGATAATGCTTCTCCACCCTCGACTTCCTTTGCATTTACATCAGGTAACGGTAATTCTGCCACAACCTTCCATGTGTCCTCTCATCCCTCTGACTCCCCTTGGATAATAAATTCTGGAGCCTCAAACCATATGAAAGGTAAGCCCAATTTGTTTCAATCTTATCATCTATTATCTGGTCGGGACAAGGTGAGACTTGCTGATGGTTCTTTCTCCACCATAGCTGGTCAAGGAACCACCTCCCTTCCTCTTGGACTCACCCTCTCTGATGTTCTACACGTTCCTAAACTGCCCATAAATTTGTTCTCTATTAGTAATATAACAAATTCGTTGAACTGCTTAGTAACCTTTTTTCCTTCCTTTTCTATGATACAGGATTTGGCCTCGGGGAAGACGATTGATAGAGGTCGTATGGTAGATGGTCTTTACATGTTGGAGAATAAAGCTTGTCTTGCGGCTATTAAGTCCAAGAGTCTGTCTAATAAGAGTCAAGTCCTTTTATGGCACAGTCGTTTGGGTCATTTATCTTTTGAGTCATTGAAATTTTTGTTACCATATTTATTTAAATCAGTGCCAGTGTCGGATTTCACATGTCAAACTTGTCAATTGAGCAAACATTGTAGAAATCACTTTACTTCAAGAAATAATAAATCTGATTTTCCTTTCCATATTGTTTATTCTGTTGTCTGGGGCCCTGTTACTTTAACATCCGAGTCTGGCTATAAATATTTCATTACACTTATTGATGACTACTCCCGATATACATGGGTGTACCCTATGCGGTCCAGAGATGAAGTACCAAAAATCATTAAAGATTTCTAACGCTTGATATTCACTCAATTTCAAATGGAAATCCAAATTTTCCAATCAGACAATGCCAAAGAATATTTCCATAGTGATTTCACGAAGTTTTTTGCTTCATGCGGATCCATACACCGTAGCTCTTGCGCTAGAACCCCCCAGCAAAATAGTGTTTGCTGAAAGAAAGAATCATCATCTCCTTGAAGTTGCTCACGGGTTACTAATACACACGAATGATCCTAAACGTTTCTCGTTAGATGTTGTGTGCTGCCTATCTCATCAACCGTATGCCATCTCACTTGTTAGGGTACAAGGCCCCCCATTAGCTTCTTTTTCCCGAGGCTCCCCTCTTCTCTATTCCTATCTGTGTGTTTGGTTGTCGTTGTTTCGTCTAAGACCTTTCTCCTACTCTAGGAAAACTTGATCATCGTACCATTCCTTGTGTCTTCTTGGGTTATCCTTCTTCCGAAAAGGGCTATCGATGCTTTGACCCCGTTTCCAAGAAGTACTATGTCTTTATGGATGTCTTTCTTTGAAAGTGATCATTTTTTCCTGGTTTCTCCTCATGGGGAGAGTAAGGTGGAGGAGAAACTAGTTCAGGTTCAGGTTCTCCCTCCTTTGCCTGACCCTCCTCCATTCCGTGTTTTTCGTCGTCGCAAGAGCCAACTAAATTCAAGAGTTGTGGAGTAACTTGAAACTGTACCGCCAACATCATCAGATTCACTGGGGACAGATCATATCCAACTAGGTACTATCATTCCTATTGATGTTCCTGATCCTCTTGCCATAGATATTCCATCTGGTGATGACCTTGACATTCCCATTGCGAAAAGGAAGGGAGTTAGGTCTTGTACCACCAAGTATCCTATTACCCATTTTGTTACCTATGAGAACATATCACCCTCTTTTTGTGCTTTCATTTCTTCCATTGACAGTGCCCCTATCTCTAAAAATGTGGCAGAAGCTCTCTTAGTACCTGAATGGACAGATGTAATGAAAGAAGAGATAAATGACTTACATAAAAATGGTATGTGGGAATTAGTGGATCTTCCTGAGGGTAAGGAACCGATAGGGTGCAAGTGGGTGTTCACAATGAAGCACAAGGTTGATGACACGATAGAAAGGTACAAGGCTAGGTTGGTGGCAAAAGGATTTACCCAGGTATATGGTGTAGATTATGCAGAGACTTTTGCCCCAATAGCCAAAATGAACTCCATTAGAGTCCTTTTCTCCCTTGCGGCAAATCTTGATTGGGATCTTCATCAGGTAGACATTAAAAACGCCTTCCTGAATGGAGACCTTGAGGAAGAGGTGTACATGGTCCAACCTCCTGGCTTTAGTGCCCTAGGCAAAGAGCAGAAAGTTTGCAGACTAAAGAAGTCTTTGTATGGTCTAAAGCAATCACCGAGAGCCTGGTTCAGCAAGTTTCATCCGGCTATACAGCAGATTGGCTACAAACAATGTCAAACTGACCATACTCTATTTGATGACATAGTGATCACAGGTGACTGGAAGGTTGAAATTTAGAGACTAAAAGATTTCTTAGCCACTCAATTTGAGGTGAAGGATCTAGGTCCCCTTCAATATTTCCTTGGAATTGAAGTGGCCCGCTCTCAAAAAGGGATCTTCATTTCTCAGAGGAAATACATCCTAGATTTGTTATAGGATACAGGAAAACTAGGGGTTAAGCCAGCCGACTCTCCCATTGATCCAAATCATAGACTGGGTGACTGTTGTGGTGAAGTTGTCAAAGATGTAAAACAATTCCAAAGACTTGTGGGAAGGCTCCTGTATTTATCCATGACCAGGCCAGACATTGCTTATGCAGTAGGTGTTCTTAGTCGGTTCATGCATGCTCCTAAGACCACACACTTAGAGGCAGCAGAAAGAATACTCAGATACCTAAAGAGGTTTCCTAGAGCTGGTTTATTATACCAGAAGAATGGTCATTTGAAGATTGAAGTATATACAGATGTTGATTGGGCTGGATCAGTTGATGACAGAAAGTCTACTAGTGGGTTTTGTTCCTTTGTGGGAGGAAACCTAGTCACATGGAGAAGCAAGAAACAAAATGTGGTGGCTAGGTCTAGTGCTGAAGCTGAATATAGAGCAAAGTCCCATGGGGTGGCTGAAGGCATGTGGATAAAGAATCTGTTGAATGAACTGGGTTTTCCTATTGATGGCCCTATGTCCTTGTATTGTGACAACAAGCCTGCCATCAATATTGCAGCCAACCCAGTTCTTCATGATAGAACTAAGCATTATAGAGGTTGACAAACACTTCATTAGAGAGAAAATTGTTAATGGGGAAGTGTGCACCCAATATGTGAGTTCCAAAGAGCAGCTGGCAGATATATTTACAAAAGGCTTGCATCACTCGCAGCACGATGATTTATGTGACAAGTTGAGCATGATTGACATCTACGTCCCAACTTGAGGGGGAGTGTTGAATAACTTAGTTTATTAAGTTTAGTGCCGCAAGGGCACCTTTGTAATTTCCCTTTTCTTTTTTTCTGTATGGTCGCCCTAGTATAAATACTAAATAAACCGGTGCCGCCAGTTGACTTTTTGCCTCTCTCAATTCTGTTTCTCTTTTCACTTTTCTCTCTTCTTCTCTTYTCTCTATTTTGGAACCATACCATCTCAGCACCAAGAAAACAATATGAAAAGGAGGGAGAGGATCGCTCAACAAGCTATACAAAAAGAAGCCAGCTGCTGAAGTAGATGACCACTATACAATAAGGCTAGCCAGGGCTTCGAGCAGAATGATAAATAATGCTATACCACTGGTTACAGAAATGAGAATAATTAAAACCAAAAAAAACTCCTAAGCTCTCAATAAAAAATCATTTGATATTCAACCTTCCCTTTCATCTGCTCAGTAGACAAACCTGAAGCTCTGAAAATTCTGCTGTTTCTTTCTTGCCATAAGCACCAGCTGATTGCAAAAGGTACTGTTCTCCATAAGATAGCACCTTTTCTGTTAAAACCATTGCTTGGCCACACAGCCAGTAAGGATTGCAAATCTATTGGGGTTACCCATTGGTAAACAAAGAAAATAGAAACAAGATACAATCAGCAAGGTTGAGACCAACCTGCTACCCCAACAAAACAACATAGCCCATAAAACAAGTTCTCTACTCCCTGCTAGGTAGTTATCAGACCTTACAGTCAATCTCACTGATTTAAACTAGATTCAACAAAAAAAGATGTTTAAGGGATATAACTCCTTTGATCTTATTAACAATCAAGGGAATAAAAAAAACAAGGAAAATAAATTGAAAGGGGTGTGGAATTGGTCAACATTGTGCCATTGCCATCATGTATAGGGCTACATCCATAGGAAAGTGGATCCAAGGGAACATCCAGAGGTGAGTGTACTTGCAGAAGATGGATTTTCACAAGATCCATATATGGGAATAACTGTCATGAAGAAATATCTACGGAAAAAAAAAGAGGTGAATGGTGGTAATGGTAATGGGAACTTTCACCAATTGAAGGAATGAATTTCTCCACGCGAATAGTAGATGATATATAATTAACTAGGCCATTTGCCCCAAAGACTATACTACCATATTCAAGTGGTTGAATTTTTTTTCCAATAAAAGAACACCATCCCATTGTTCTTGTTATGGGCTTCTCAGCTTTGTACTTGCATGCTATTATTACCTACACCTTTCTGAACTAAATGAAGGAAGCTTATGTTGAGAAGCATAGGGGCAACTATCCTATTAAGTGTACRTGTATGGAATGGGAAGAAATTTGAGAATCTTCAATGATAAGAATTCAGAGGCTGTGGTTCTAATTGACTTCATAGTGAGGTTGCAATTTGAATTTTAAACTACGGAGGAACAAATTCAGGGGATGTGCTCATTGAATCAATCCCAACAGGTTGGTAAGGATTTGCTGTCTTTGCCCAGCAAAGAAAAACTCTTATAGAGCTCTTATCTGCTATTGCACCCAGATTTTATCAGCAGCTCTTGCACCTACTTTCGTCAAATTTGGTTTTGATGATTGCACTTTAAGAAACTCTTGCTCTTCAGGGTTTTGGAGTCTTCTATAACCATGATGGCCATTCTGATGAGTTTTTCAGGACCAGTTGGGGGAAGACACTTCCCTTGTAGCAGAGATTTTAGCCCATATGAAAGGTTTAAGATCAACTTGTTCTTTGTGTAAAGTGAAGTGCCTATGCCAAGAAGGAGATTATCAATTACTTGGTGTAATGATAAAATCTTGGGCTGGCAAGCATGAAAACACAGGTTCAAACCTATGTGTATAGGTATTCTTTTTCATCTATTTATATTAAGGAGGTACATATGAGGCCTTTGATGAARGAGTTAAGCAGTCAATCCTATTAAAAGGTGGAATGTGATGGTTGAAGAAGTGTTTTGAGGAAGAAGGCACACCTAGGCACACAAGCAAGGTGCATTTCAAGGTATGTGCCTCGCCTAGGTCCCAGAAGAACCACTTTCAAACGGCACATGGCTGGTGTGCCTTGCACCTCAGCCCAGGCATGTGCCTTTTTTTTTATTTTTTGCACTTTTTGCTAATRTTATTCATTCATTCATCTTAATAAAAGATAACTAAAGTTATAAAATCATTTTTTAGGGATTAAGAATTTAAGACCCTAATAAGGACTTGTTTGGGCTTTGCCTCAAGGGGCTTGGTACAAAGGCAGCTTGTAGAATTAGGAATCATAGATGTATCATCACATTAACTATATGAAATAAAAGAACTGAGAAAGAAATAAAGAAATTAGAAGTTTGACATGCTTGAATATGTTTTGTATGCTATTTTTATTTTATTTTTGCATTTTCCACATTGAATATGTTTTATATGTATGTTTATGTATTTAAATTTAAGCTAATAATCCTTTTAAAACATTTAGTTTACAATTAAAGTTTGAATTTTTTTAATTAATACTATTTTTAGTATTTTCTTAACTTATTTTGATTTTTTACCTCTTTTTGCATTCTTTTGCAATTTTTTCATTTTTTTTAAGTAAATCAAAAAGGTGTGCCTCACCTTGTGCATTACGACTYGGGCACAAAAATGACCTTTGCACTTTTTTTGTGCCTTGCACTTTTAAAGCACTCAGAGCATCAGCCTTGCCACCAGATAACAAGAGGAAAGTTCATATTCATGTATTACAATAGAGGTTCCATTTCGATTATTTTCAGGTTTGACTAAAGAACATATATAAATGCAACATGTAAGTAAACATGGGGTTATTTAAAAAGAAAAAAAAAGGAAAACTTAGAATCATACAATCAGATAATATCTTGATAGTGAAAGCTCCTACAATAAGGTAACATACCGATCTTTGTCAGTGTTCAAAGCCAGTAGCTTTGGTTGTGCTGTTGGATCTGGAAGTTCATTCCTGAACCTTTAAGAGTAAAAAAAAAAAATCAAATAAGTTGTCAAAATTAGGAAAAGTATGAACTACCCATATTGAAATATATAACAACCATTTTAAAGTTTTAATCAACAATTCAAAAACTTTAACCAATAAAAATGATTTAATACAAAAGAAAATACAGAAATGAAAATTTCACCATTTCCATTCATTCCCTAGCAAAGTCCATTCAATTCATGCCTTTAAATCTTTTAGCACCATAACCCATTCCATAATAAATGAGAAAAATATCCCTACAAATTCTTGAAAGATTCCTGATGAGCATTCAAAAATTCTTGTAAGGGGCATTCGCACTCAAAACCCATGGAAATTTTTCAATCATCTCATAAGAAGAATTTACAAAATGATGTACACTGCATCCATCTGATGTAATTAGTCTTGTAGTTGTCATTGATCGACAGCCGCATGGTAGCATCTTGATTCTTGTGTGATAATATGTGAGAAAATAATGAAAATGATACAATTAAATGCAAAAATACAAGTCCAAATGATGTAGATTCATTATTGGGGGGAGTCGGTAAGCAAGGGCAGAATCAGATTTGAGGCCCCTGAAATCTGTTTCTGCAGTTCATGTCAATTAAACAGAGCATAAATGGAATTATCCTCGCTTCTATCTGGTGAATAGATCCATTTCCAGTATAAATCAAATTTACAAATGACTGGGAGAAGGGACATTTACAAATTTGTTCCAAGAGAAGTTTCCAAAGTGAAAGTGAACTTGACACCCTCTCTCAATCTCTCTAAACGCATGCCTGGTCTCCAACTTAAACAACAGTAACAGCTCTCTTTGAAGACATCTCCAGTACAGAAATGGTATGGGCTGACTGTTTCCTATCATCAACTTCAGCAACCCTATAAATGCTACTTCTGTTTCCTCATTTGTCCAACCAATGGAAATGAAATTCAAAGATTCTATTCTATAGGCTTCAAAAGAACATCTAGATTCTAGACAATGTTTTCTTTTTATTGGTAATAAGATCAAGAGAGCTTTATGGAGAGAGATTCTGGAATACAACCCAACCCTTAATGTAGGGTAGGGGGGTAGGACCACAGTCTAATCACCAAAAGTCAAGAACGAAGTACATTACAAAGATAGCAGCTTACAAGCTACCCAGGAGAATAGACTCCGCAATACAAAGAGACTATTCACCCCTTCTCTAAGTTGTATGCTACATCCAGAGAAAGTAATCAGCATGCCAACAAAAGCAGATTCCACAGAATCAAATTCAAATTAATGTAATTGCTGTAAGTTAATTATAGTTCCACTGAACCAAAGATAGCTCGGTTCGAGGGGGAAAGAAGACTGAGAGTACAGAGGAGCAACCAGAACTCAGTAGAAGCAGACAGTGCTAGCGATCGAAGGGGAGGAGGAAAGTCAGATAAAACAAATAAGACGACGACAGTAGCTTGCTAGGACCAGACAAACATCACTGAGTTCCAGAGTTAGAAGTGAGCTCGGCGTTGAAGCAAGACGACGACAGGAGCTCTGCCTAGTTCAGATAAATCAAGGTTTGAGGGAGGGTCTAGTGCGACACCAGACAGAAGTGGATTTCGAGTGTGGGAAAGGGTCGGCTGCGGACAAGACAGTCCAGGTCAAGGATGAGGTACACATCACTGAAACCTCCGATGCTTTGACTGGGATTTGGATCTGAGAAGGGGCCTTAGGGATGCTGAAGCAACCATGTTTCAGCCTTTAATTCAGACCTCAGGTGGGATGATCTTGGACCTAGGGAGAAGGGATAGTAGACTTTGGACTCTGACCCCTGATGGTGAGTTTTCTTGTGCCTCCTTTTTTAAGGCCTTAACACAACCCTCAGATAGCTCCAGCATAGACTTTCCAGTTCTAGAAGTTAGGGGCAAACCGATTCGCCCAAGGATTGGTGCTTTTTGTTGGGAAGCCTTTCTAGGAAGATGTAACACTTGTGACTTTCTCCAAAGAAAAAGACCTAATTGGTGCCTATCCCCTAATTGGTGCATCCTTTGTAAGGCAAATGGTGAGAGTTGCTATGACTTACTAATATCTTGCTCACTTGTTTCATATATTTGGGAATGGTTTTTTTCTTTATTTGGTTGCTGATGGATGCCCCCGCCAGATGTACAAAGCTTGTTCTTCAGGTGGCCAAAAAAGAGGGGTAGACTTCTTTGGAGATGTATCAGAGCTGCCATATGTTGGACAATGTGGGAGGAAAGAAACTCAAGGATCTTTAATGAAAAGGAGAGGAATAGAGAGGTCATAATTGAAACAATTTCTATTAGAGTGGTGCATTGGGTGAAATCTCTAGATATGTTTGACAATATCTCCACAGATATTATAAGAAGAAATTGGAAGGAAGTGACCAACTCAGTACCTGCTAAAACAAAGATAAGCCCCATTTGGTATCCCCCGGCCTCTAGCTTTACTAAGCTGAACTTTGATGGGAGTAGTGAAGGTAACCTGGGCTGGGGCCTTCTGGAATTGGAGGAACCTTTAGGGATGAAGATGGGAAAATCCTTGCTCTATTTTCTGGCCCTATTGGTGTGGGGGATTCTCTACGAGTTGAGATTCTAGTTGTGATGGAAGGAATGAAGAAGGCTGAGGGAGCTGGGCGGCGGAAAACTCATTATTGAAGGGGATTCAGAGTTGATTATAGGATGGCTGCAATGAGAAAAAAAAAGGCCTTTGGAAGTTTGCTAATGAAAAAAGAACGTTTAACCGGCTAGCATAAGGTATGAAGATTCAGTTACAATGGGTAAAGAGGTGTGCTAATTCTTTTGCGGATACCCTTGCTAAACAAGGGGTAGGAAGGGAGCAACTGTTTTAGGCCATTCTGTAATTTAATTTTTTTCTTTGGGGAGGGTTAAGAGAGTTTACCCCTCCCTTTGTACTTCTTTCTATTTTGAAAGTTTAATAAAAGGTTGTTATTCCGATGCTTTAACTTCTAAGGTGGAGGGACAAAAGGACGGGGAAACGAGGAGGGGCTGGCAGAAAAAAGAGAAAGTGCTCTTCAGAGGGAGAGAGGGTAGACAAGTTGGACAAAGTTTATAACAGGAAAAGAAGATTGGAGGGAGGTGACTCAGCTACCGAAGAAGGAAAGGAATCAAGGGCAAGGGATAAGGAACAGTTGCAAGAGGAACAAAGAGGGGTGAGGGCAGAGGAGGAGGAGAGAAGGGGTGAGAAGCAGGGAGGGCTGGAGTTAAGCTGAAACGGGGAAGTGGAAATTAGTAAGCTTGTGGAAAGGGAAGTGACAATGGGCAAGTCCCTGGGATTGTTCTTCTGGGGAGGGGAAGAGTTTGCAAGGAGCGCATTTGAGCAATTCAAGAGGAACGAGAGGGAGGAGAAAAGTAAAAGGCAAGGGGGTAGAGGCTTGAAAAAAGAATGAGATGAGGAAATGGGTGAAGAGGAGGTGCTTGAAGATGATTTATGAGGGCAGAGGTCGAATTGTATTAGGAGCAGGAAGAGGGGAAGGAGGGTGGTAATCTGGATAGTGAGGGGTTTAAGGGAGAGTAGCAGGAGGGCAAAGTGAGGAATTACCGCCCAGTGGTAGTTCTGTTATAGGAGAGCTGGAATCATGCAACATGGGCCTGAAGGAGGAGATATGGGGAGGGAATGGATAGAGTTGGACACCATAGGGTTTTCAGAGGGGCTAATCATATTCTGGGATACGAGGGTATTCAGGAAGATAGGTGAAGAGATTGTTGTATTTTGCCTCAGTTTTGTATCAGTCTGTGATGTTAGCTCAGAGCTGTTTGTTTTGCAAGTTTGGTGCCATCTTGTCACCTACTGGATTGTATCTTTCTTTTTACATTCAATAAATTTTCATTTTACTATTCAAAAGAAAAGGGAGCCAAGAGTCCCATTCATTTGGAACCAAAGATCAGTTGACAGTATGGCTGATACATTGGCAAGGCAAGGGGTAAACAGAAATCAGTTATTTTGGGGAACTACCGAAGGGAGATTGATTGTAATGTAAACAAACATATTATGATTGCTAGTGGCTATTAGTCTACAGTTAGTGGTGCTAAATATATTTTTGTAAATTTTTGTACATCATTGTGTCATTCTTTCATCAGAACTAATAAAATTTCTATTTGTTACTGATAACAAAAAAAATATATATTGTAGCTGATGTAATGAGAAATGATTTGAGGGCCCATAACTTTAACAATGGATATGGCATTGAATAGAGCAGAATCTCGAAACGAGATTCATGTAATTGATCCCATATAGTTGGAACTAGGGGTGCTCATCAAAAACTGAACCGAACTGATGAAACCAAACCAAAAAATCTAGTTAACCAAACTGGTTGGTTTGGTTTCAGTTAACCAATATGAAAAACTGGCAGTTATACTGGTCTCTCTCCCTTTCTTTTCATATATATTTTATATTATCTATATATTATAAATAAATATGTATGAATTATATATAAATATATATTTATAATATATAAAATAATACTTATTTGTTTATAATATAATATATTATATGTATTTCTAGTATTTATATTATATTTATATAATATACATTATAAATATCAAAAACGAAGAACCAAACTGGTTAAAAACCGAACCAATTAACCGGTTAACCAAATGGTTTCAATTCGCAGTTTTCCAAAAACCAGTGGTACCGGTTCAGATTGGAAAATAGGCCCACAGTTCGGTTATACAGAACGTAAGCACCACTAGTTGGGAGAAGGCCTAGTTGAGCTGAGTATTGAATCATGTAGCTCTATACACAAAGATTAGCCCATATAGTATTTCCTAACAATGAACATGTATAAAAGATTCACTGTCAATGATTTGTCATATATAAGGGGCATTATTTTCTTTTAAGATAAAAAATAAAAATTTTATCAAAAGAATAAAAGATACAAGAAGGTGACCAGAAGTCATAAACAACCTCCAACAAACTCCAAACTTCAACCACAATTCATCTTCCATTGCAAACGACTTTTTTTTATAGGAAACAGTAACTTTCATTAATGAATTGAAAA